TGTGGCTTTCAGCAAGTAATCATGTTGGCTAATTTGCTCTGCAGCATGCTTGCGCACGGGGTGAAGTATGAAAATTATGCTGGTATTGGGCAATGCTGGGTTATTTCAGTCGTCCCGCTGCTATACGGTAATATGTTAAGCGTTCCATTCAGGGCTGATTGCAGCACACACTCGGTGGTGCATAGCAGTAAAACCTCAACAATTAACGCAATGAAGAACGAGCGAACCGCGCAACACGGAATAGCTGATGTTTACAGCAATAACAAGCTGCCCTTTCTAATATTCTACCGATCGCATAAAGTCTTAGTGAATTATGAAGGAAGTGAAGATGCAGCGTCGTGGGTAGGTGAACCAGAAGCTTAAGTTGGCCTAAATCTTCATATTTAGAATAAAAGAAATGAGAAAGGTTGCTCACAACGAACTGCAAGATTGCGGATTGTAACTACCGAAATTCTCAACCAAATAGCTACTACTTGATTTCCGACCAAGATCACTTTCCTATCAAAAGGAAGATTTTTCGACATTTCATCGGATGGATTTACAACTTTCCTCGCCCCTCGGTGCAATTTCGACGTTGCATCTTCACTGTGGACCGGTGCTGCGTGAAATAGCGGAATTCTAATGTGATGTAAAAAATCTGATGCAAATTTGCCTTACTGTTGGACAGAGTCTTAAATAATTGAAACTAGGCGTCGGCTTTAGGTCGTGCTAGCACGGCTTCAACCCGTCGACTCAGATGCCACCTACAATCTGGAGGACCTAAGAATGACATTCGGGAGGCTCACAATGAGACCATCACCCGAGCGACATTGGAGGCCTGCACCAGCATAGTTATGCGGTGCCCTGACCCAACGAGACTGGCGATAGTTGAGGCTCTCATTATCAAGAACGAGTCTCCAGCTATCAACCTCCAAACTACAAGATTCGTCCGGACGCTGAAATTGTTTTCAGAGTAATTTTAAGCGTATATTTCAAATTGTATCCACTATACCATTGATTTGTACTACTTTAATTTCCAAAGTTAAATTTCAAGTGTTGCAAAACCTTCAGCTGCTAGATAATGAAAATTGTATTTTTCGAAACGTCGCAATCCTTTAAAATATCATTCGGTAATCTGCTTTATGATCTCCCGGCGCCAACTAGAAATTTTATTCCATTCGTTGAAAAAACGAATAAGAAGATTGTTAATGAAAAGTATGCTCTGGTCTCCAATAATACTTGCACATATATATTATTTTTTTTTTTTGTAGGGGAAAGAATTCTGCCCACTGAAATCAGTGAATGAGATTTGTTGCGTTGACAGCTATCTATGTTCATATATTAAATGAACCCAATTGTTCCGATTATATGACCCGATAAAATTTTTTGAAATATTGGTAAAAAAATAAATGTTATAATAATTTTCGCATTCATCAATATAAATTGAGCAAATATTACTTGGCGTACATGTCTAGTATTAATGGTACGCTGTAACTGTGCAAAAACTTTCAACGGCAGTCAGTAATGAATTTTTTTAGAACATTTCCTTTAGCGCGTTTAGGGGGCACACATACAGACTACTCATCAATACCCGAACATGAATCAATTTGTGTACTGAGCTGCGTAAAATTATTTACATAGAAATCGAAATCAATACTCGACTTTTATTTTCAACAATTAAACACAATTTTTCATTTGATAAGGTAAAAAACGGTGGGTTACATTCGGGCTCCGACAAGATCTTTTATGTGCATATAAGCTGTGAACTATGCGAGCGCCTTCTCGTGTCGAGTCACCGTTTAGTCCCAAGACTAGGCGCCAAAGAGAAGCAATGTGATCGAATTTTTACCACTGAATTTGTCTTTTTCTGAGGGGAGTTACGGTGTTTAATCTTTTATAGTCTTGGACCAAATGTCTGTTATTGGAAGAATAGCATTTGGCTGTATAGAAATATATATGAAGGCCGATAAGTAAATTTAAAATGTGAGAATTCGAGTTGCGTTTCACTTGCATATTAAAAATTTCTGAAATCGAGTTGAAACAAGTAAGCCTACTGAAACTTGTACCAAAATTTCAGAACGCAAATCAAATGCGCTCAAATTAAAAACTTTGGAACTGAAAATCTATGGCCTCGTGTACATTGAAGTCTTAAAGTTTGGTTCGATCAACGAGAAGTAAAACCTTGCAAGTTCATTCTCTCTTTTTTTTTCCAATATGGAAATAGGATTTATTCAAAACAAACCCTCTTGAAATGATAATCCACTTGGTAATTAACTCACCACGGCGAAAACATTAATTAAAAGTCAAACAGTTAGAAATTTTTAAATATCTATTCTACTAACGAGTCACTCATCAAGTTCTTAGGAAATCTCAACGAAAATTCTTAGGAAATCTCTCTTCGGAAACGAATGCCTCATCCGTTCATATCCTGTTTCAAATCTTACTGGAAACATTGGCATGTTATTCAGTTGCATCGAATTGTCATCACAATCCATTAACAAATTAAATCTGTGAGTGCGATTATTTAAACGTTTTTTATTACACCGAAGAAAAATTGAAAATAAGGTCACAGGATATTCATTCGTCTTATTAATCATAAGTCACCATGAGCTTATAGACAAAATTTCATGGAATGAACGAATTTCGAGTACAAAAAACACGATTCAAATTACCTTTAAGATCGGCTTTCTTAATTGCAAAACTCAAGCTGGCGCTCATACTGCAAATTCGAGAAAAATTACTCAGCGCTGCGCAATTTCAGTTAATTTGACATGGGAGCCGCAGATGCTTCACACCTCTATAGCACACAGCTGCCCCCGTGACATCCTAGTGACGAACTTTAGCTGACACTCTGCACACAACTCAACTTACTTTCTGGTCATCATAATTTAACAAATCTTGGCATGAGTTCTGAGAACAGGCGTTTTCTGACACTCAACACTTGCTCTCTATCAAAGATGAAAGTTCGCAAATTTTATTGAAAAACGCTACATCGCTTTCATTTCGTCTTGCACTGTGCCTGATTTTCGTCAAGTTACGTAACTCCAGAAGTGCGTGTTAAATTGAAACTAATTATAATTTCTGCTACTTACTCCCCTTTGCACATTTCGAGATCCTTCAGCAATTCGTTGGTTGAATCTCAATTCATCGACAGCTTCCAATGGTTCTGGTCACAAATCCAAATTCTTTCTCTCATTTTGTGCGGTTTTCAGATGGTAAATCTGCGACTAATAGTTTAATATTCTCAGTATCAATGTTTACAACTGGAGTTCCGATGTGTCACGGACGGGGTAAATCTTGACCGGAAATCCCAGCCTTTCTTCGTTATCGACTATCGCGTCTGCGAGAGTTAAATTATTTTGGTGAGCTAAATATTTGTCAATCAGTAAATAGTTATCAATTCACAGTCAATTTCACACTACAAAATTCGCAATCACAGTCAAATCAAAATTTCGTGTCTCCTCTCCAAACGGTCATTGAAGGAAGTAAAAAAACTATACCAGCGGTAGCGTACTCAAGCAATTTAATATTACACAAAGACATTTCAGAGGTTAAAATATCTACATAAACGAGTTTTCACATTCTTCTTAATTTACAACCCATTAAAGCTTAATATATATAGATAATTTTTGCGAGTCTAACTTCATCCATAGATCTGCTACAAGTCCAAGAAGCGTCCTAAAAATAAGAACTATTATCAGATTAATTCGTATTTACAGCTTTTACATACCCCAGCGATGGCTGTTTGGACTTCAACGAGTATTATTCAGACAATGACGATGCAGCTCTAAATCATCACAAATACCGAAACTATCGTCAATGCAACTGATACCTAAAGGCAGAGTACCTATGCAGTCACCACCAGTAGACAAGGAGTTACTCTTTCTTGTACGAATACAATACTCCTTGTCAATGCTATTCATATCTAAAGGCATAAATGATTTGTAGACAAAAATTCAACCTTTTTGTAAACGGCTAATTTAACCTCGTAAATCCAATTCGTTCCTGAAGGCTAGGGTTGCTCCGAGAGTTACCATCCGATGACAAAGAGTAAAGTGAACTCAACAACCCGAAATAAAAAGTTGGAGGGAGTAGAAAATATTTTGAGCTATTGCTTTTATTTTTGACGCTCAAAAATGTTCAGTTTGACCGTCCAATCGTAATTTGAAGCAGCAGTTAAATCAGAGTTATTTTTGACCAAAGAAGTTTTGTTCCGGCTCGCAAGAACCATGGCAGAAAAGTGCCACATTATGTCTTGTGTTAAATGTTATGCGTGTTGAATAATGGAAATTTCAACACAGTTCAAATTTTAGTCGCGCAATGTTTTAAATTGTGCAGAATTTAGATTGTTTATAATTAGCAGTGAAAATATTGAGAAGAACTTATACAAATTTGGGTAAAAATTGGCTATAAAAATTAATAAATTTTCACGGCTCGCCGGGAGTCGCAAATCCAAGCCTTGCTGCTCCAAATCTCGGGGCGTTTCACGTCTAAACGAATACGGAAATGTGGTCTGGTCACACAAACGACTAGGAGCTGCAACCTACGGGCTTGCCCCCGATCTCTGCCGCGTCTACGTCGTGGAGGTGCCTTGGCCTGCGCGTCGGCCGGATTCCCGGCATACTCGTGGGTCAGGCCAAACGGCAGAGCCCCCCCCCCCCCGCCCGGATCGCTACCGGACCTACGGGCTTACAAGGAAATTTTGAAGCGAAAATAATGGTCGAGGACAATGAACATCGAAACATATTATCCTGAAATATGGACCTGTGAGAATATTCCACAGAATGTTGATTCTAATCGGAAAACAAAAAGGAAATGAAAATGATTTTGTACCAGTTTGAGCGGCTCATTTGGTCTTGTTTCATCCAATCAAAATTACAGAAAATTACGCGTTGATGCCGAGGCTAATTCTAACCCGTCGTTTGTAACTTATAATATATAGAAGTTGTTAGATAAGGAAAATAACTGATTGACAATATAGTGAACAATGTTTCAGTAAAGCGAGACGAATGACGAAAAAAGCGAGGATATAAGAGGCAATCAAGGAACAAACCTTGACAATTTGAGACGTTAATCGCAAGATAAATTTAATCGTGAGATATTTTCATATTTCATAACAGAATAAGACGCATATATATATACAAATATTTTCAGGGTATTTGCAATCAAAACACTCTTAACATAAGAAGCTACTTCCCTTATTAACGAGAACTTTTCGAGTTCTCGTTCGAATCGTGGCCAATGCACTGAACGTTTGAATTCATGAAGCTCAGCAGAAAAAGGTTAAAATATAACTGATACTCCATTCAATTTCAAATATTATTTTTGAATTTTATCTTGGGCAATTTGAGTAAATCTAATCAAAATCTAGAAACGAGCAGATTTTTTTTAGACAACGCGATACCATGAAACCAAAACTTATGAAAGCAACTCCGGTGACGATTCATTTTCAATAAAAATACATACAATGTTAACGTCTATTCGAGAAAGCAGGTAACAGGGAACTTATTATCGTAGTAATGAACTGAGGGAAAAACTATAGTACGAACCGAAACTGAGAAAAAATTTCTGTCCACTGAACTCGGTGAATGAGATTTGTTGCGTTGAAAGCTATCTATGTTCATATATTAAATGAACCCAATTGTTCCGAATGTATGACCAGATAAAATTTTTGAAATATTGGCAAAAAAATAAACGTTATAATAATTTTTATGCGATCCTCATGTCGAGTAATTCGAACTGTTTGGGAAAAAATTTGAACCGTTAGAGAAAAAATAGAACTTTTATAGAAAAACTTAGAACTTTTAGAGAAAAAATAGAACTTATAGAGGTAAAATACTAACTGTTGCGAAAAAATCATAAGTGTTGCGAAAAAATCATAACTGTTGCGAAAAATCATAACTGTTGCGAAAAAATCATAACTGTTAGAGAAAAAATTAGAACTTTTAGAGAAAAAATAGAACTTATAGAGGTAAAATACTAACTGTTGCGAAAAAATCATAACTGTTGCGAAAAAATCATAACTGTTGCGAAAAAAATCATAACTGTTGCGAAAAAATCGTAACTGTTGCGAAAAAATCATAACTGTTAGAGGAAAAAATTATAACTTTGCAGGGATTCCTCGTCGGTCACGCGCTCTTGCGTCGCCGAATTGCTAACCTGAAACACCAATCGAAATTAAACTCATGACCAGACTTGACATGCAACAATTTGTTAACCTGAAACACCAATCGAAATTAACCTTATGAACAGACTTGACATGCAAAAATTTGTTAACCAGAAAAAACCTGATCGAAATTAAACTCGATTACGTTTACATGAACAAATATGTCATGCAGAAATTTGATGAACGGTTAACCCATCGGTGGGGGGGGGGCGGCACTCACCTGGACAACAGCCAGGGACTCTGCCATGCAGCGCTCCCTGATCTGGTCGGGTAGTAGCGTGGGAGCCGCGGCAGACGAGGCGCCGCCGCTGATCTCCTGGCAGAATTGATGCACCTGCAGGAGTTCTGAGTTAAGCTGCTCGTTGAGCTGGTCTACCTCCAGCACCAGCGTTGCGTAGCGCCGCTGAAACGCACCAGTAACTGATTCTCCCAGACATCTGGAAGGCGGCGACAGAAAATAATGTTTTGAACTCATACGTGCCAATTAATTCGATTCATTAGAAATTCCTTAACGTATTTTACAAAATCTGTGTATTTGAGAAACCGTAAATGAACACGAGAGGGATACGGGGTAACTTTTTGCTGACAAATTTTATGATTTATTTTGAGAGGCGTGAGCAATATAAGAATAGAACAGCAACCAATCACAGACTGGAGAGATTGCTGCAATAAAACCCGGAGGGATTGAGATTAGGAGTAATATATATCGTCGAGATCTATACATTTCACTAACAATTTGTATGCTTCAACCGATTATTGGAATTACATTTAACAAAAGGAATAATAAGGACGATTCTTGCTGTATGTATCGACATGTTCAAACTATATTAACAAAATCTCGATCGAAGTATTATCTAATCTATTAGCATAGCTTCATTTGATGAATGTAATTAAGTTAGATTAATAAATTACTGTATTTTTCATTCATTTTAGATTATCTAGTTTAGTACTGATATATCTTTCAACTTTTCATCTCTAAACAATTTACCTGAGCTTCTCAGCACCGCTGTTTAGTGACTTGAGCTGTCTGACTGTTTATACTTAATCTTTCATTCACTTTGCTAATGATAAATAATTAATTTATTCGGGTGTGATATATCCTCAACTCTTTCATCTCTAAACCCTTTACATGAGCTCAGCAACACGGTTAAGCTGCTTGCGTTCCCTTACTGTTGATATATCCCTAAAATTATTTCGGGATAGAAAAATCCACAATTGTTTTCACATTAGATCATTTACCTGAGTTTCTCAGCGCCGCTGTTGAGCTGCTCGAGCTGCCTTACTTACTGATAGATCCCTAAAATAATTTCGGGATAGAAAAATCCTGTTATCTTATTAGATCATTGACCTGAGCTTCTCAGCGCCGCTGTTGAGCTGCTCGAGCTGCCTTACTTACTGATAGATCCCTGAAATAATTTCGGGATCGAAAAATCCTGTTTTCACATTAGATCATTGACCTGAGCTTCTCAGCGCCGCTGTTGAGCTGCTCGAGCTGCTTGACTTTCTCAGCTTTGCTCTCTAGCAGCTTCCAGAGCCTGACGATGTGCATGAGCTGAGCCACGGGATATTGTCCGATGCGGTCGCTCAGCGTCAGTGGGGCGGGCTGCGTGCGCGGCGACTGCGCCAGCACTGGGTCGTGGCACATGAAGGGGGCGCTGTATAGGGAGCTATACATCAGCAAACAGGGGTAAAGGGCGTGGGGTGTATGAACATACAGAGGTGCATATACAGGACGTGGCATATATGTGCATAGAGACAAAGGTTTATATACATGAATAGTTTCAGTTAGGTTGCAATAACGTTGTCCCGGCCATCTCCACAGAGCGTAGAGAGTGAAGCAGAGGGTATTAAATGAAGGTAATGCTTAATAATTATAATAAAGATACTGTATTATATCGTATTGTATTTTCTCTGTATGATCCTACATACATATTTCTATATGAAAAAAATAGGAAACAGCACACGAATTAGAACTTTATATACTAACGAAAAGTTCACAGGCAACAAGAAAAAACTACCCACAATAGAAAGAGTTCCCGCATTTTCATTTGCCATAAATACGTCGCTATTTGTAAGCGTTCACATACTCAGCCCCAGCACCCCAGCCTGGGGGGCTGTCCAAGCCGCAGAGGGAGGACGCTTTGTTTGGGGTGTCCATAGAGACACCTCGGGGGAGCAGCGGCCGGGGGGGCGTCACCAGCCCCAAGGGGGGACGAGGACGGAACTTTTGTTGGAAGCTCGCCAGCGGCATCATTTCGGGAGGATCGCATGACTGGGAAATAAATACAAAAAGCAATTAAAGCGACATCATTTATCTCACAAGCACCTCTCACATCTCACAAGCACCTCTCACATCTCACAAGCACCTCTCACATCTCACAAGCACCTCTCACATCTCACTCACAAGAACTTCATAGTCTGGGATGGAGTGCGTGCCGATGCCATGTCTAGTGAAGCTTATCCTGTAGGTGTTGTTGGACGTGTCCACGGCGTCTATGTGGCCGATGTAGAGGCCGTTCTCAGGCTTCCGAATGCGGGCTGTCACCTTGACAAATCATAAAAATTTATAAATTGTTCAATATAAAATCATAGATTGTATGAAAGCAGTTATGAACAAAGACAAGACTGAAATTTGCGCGCTATCACGTGAAAAATTGTAACAATATGATCAATTGTTCTTACATACCTATCCTACTTTCAATGAAATTCGAGGATAAAAAAGATATAATTTACATTTTACTAATGAGTACCGTAATTTATACAATGGAAATAAGTGCTGGAAAATAAGGTTCTCTAGGTTCCCCTTTGAATAGCTGTTAGAAAATAGGTTGCCAATTAAAATACTTTAGAGGAACCTTATTTCTAACAGTTATTTCCAGGGGAACCGTAGAATTAATCCTAAACTATAAACGATACAATTTTATTCAAAGTTATACCATAAAGTGATATGTCAATAAAAAGAGAAGTCCTCGAATATTAATTAAATGTTTTTAAATGCTATCAATTTGCATCTTCATAATTAGCATAGAGTAACCACTTTCCTCAAGCAAACTCATTACCAGACCTTTAGACAAGTAATAAACAAAACTATTTACGTATCTGTAGACAAAGGTTAACAAATGCATGAGCATTAACTTCGTGCTTATACGGCACAACTACTATACAAAAAGAGCATAGTAGGTCTGATGGCTGCACACGGCGAGGGTCTGGACGTAATATATCAGGATGTAGCTTCAAATATATATTGAAAATCAATTATCTTGGTGCCACTGAAGTGGAATGAAACGAGTAAAAAAGAGCAAAGGAGAGAGGATATATTGAGAATCAATTACCTTGGTGCCACTGAAGTGGAGTAAGACGAGATGCAAAAGAGCGGAGGAGAGAAAATATTTTGAGAATCAATTACCTTGGTGCCGATGACCAGCTGACATGGTATGTGTAGGGGCAGAGTGAAAGGCAGGTCACGTAACTCATAGTAGGTCTGATGGCTGCACACGGCGAGGGTCTGGAGGTAATACCGTATGTCTGGATATAGCTTCAAAAGTATATTGTGAATCAATTATCTTGGTGCCACTGACGTGGAGTGAAAAGAGTATAAAAGAGCGTAGGAGAGAAAATATATTGAGAATCAATTACTTTGGTGCCAGTGACGTGGAGTGAAAAGAGTATAAAAGAGCCGAGGAGAGAAAATATATAGAGAATCACTTACCTTGGTGCCACTGACGTGGAGTGAGAAGAGATGTAAAAAAGAGAGGAGGAGAGAAAATACATCGAGTATCAATTACCTTGGTGCCGATGACCAGCTGACATGGTATGTGTAGGGGCAGAGTGAAAGGCAGGTCACGTAACTGAGTCACGTCAGAAATTTTCCTTTGCTGCAGCAGGCGCAGCACTTGCCGCCGCTTGGCGAGCAATGAGAGCTCTTCGTTGAAAAACGCCTTGAAATAAGATGAAAAAAACATTAATTGCATGTTTGATTTGCAACATGATAATGTTAGCAAAATAATTAGAGCCGTTATGGTCATTTGTGTTCAAACGCCATTAGTGCATCACAATAGCCTTCTGAACCAAGACACCTTGGTTCGGATTTATCTTGGAAAAGAGAAGAAGAGATTTATCTGGTTAACCAATTATTGATTTAATAACTTGAAAAAATATTTGTTACACAGTAATAAAGTAAATAAATAATTTTTAGAAAACTCAAGAGAGAATTCATTCAAATAGTAACATAACACGAACAACATTTCAGGAAAACTTGGAGATGAAAAGCCATATGCTCATAATGAACCACAGCTCAACAGAGAAGTTACCTCGGAAAAAATTATGGGCAAAAATTTTCTTTATGAACTAAAGTCCCACCTGGGAGCACCTCCTTGGCTTGCCCATGATCCTCCTGATGAGGCTCCACTGACGACGGGAAAGGCATCGGGTGCTGAGCTGAGGGAAGGCTTCTCGCAACACCTGCTCGAAGTCATTGCGGCCCAGGAACAGCGGCCTGTGGGCATCCGCACTCACTTATTACCCATATCCACTAATTACCACATTACCCGAGTATCTCAGTGAACCGACTCACTGAATAACCTTGATACTGATTCTCAAAACACAAATACTACTACAGTCTGCCTACACTTGATAACCAGTGTATCAAGTCTCATCGTCAAAAAATTATTAAAAAATAATCAAGTGCAAATCCATTCCAAGAAAGATCACTCACTGGTCAATGTTGGCGTAGAACCACTCAGAGTAGATCACTCACTGGTCAATGTTGGTGAAGAACTACTCATAGTAGATCACTCACTGGTCAATGTTGGCGTAGAACCACTCACAGTAGATCACTCACTGGTCAATGTTGGCATAGAACCACTCATAGTAGATCACTCACTGATCAATGTTGGCGTAGAACCACTCATAGGAGATCACTCACTGGTCAATGTTGGCGTAGAACCACTCATAGTAGATCCACTTGTGCGCCTGAGGCAACTTAAGGAAATTTCTGAGGCGAAGTCTGTTATCGTGCACAGCGCCGCTGCGGTCGGCGGGGTATGGCGCAGACATGGCAGCTGTTGCTGTGGAGACTGTTGGGGGACTGTTGCTGTTACTGCTGCTGCTGATGTGGCTGCTGCTACTGCTGGCGCTGCTGCTGCTCAAACGATGACTGCTGCACTCCTGCAATGAAAACGACAATGCCATGTTATATTGCCTCCTCCTTCCAACATCCTATGGAAAACCAGCATAATATGAGGCATTTATAAAGAAGGGATTCAGGTATTAGGTACAAAAAGAGCATTATCGAGATAATTGATTCCCATGTCTTTTCCCTGGACTTAGCTGGTTGAAGCAATAGAGAGTTGTAGTATCAAGTTCAAAACTTGGTTATTATGAGCATTCACGTCATGACTGCAAGTAGCCTTCTTGAGCACATGATAGCCTTGATGAAATGCTGGTGACAGCGGTAAGAGGAGGATTTAATAACTTGTGCCGATGTTAATAACTTTTACATCCTGCTTTTTTAAATCCCAGGTGGGACTTTAATCGGACCCCCGCTGAATCAGTATCAAGGTTATTCAGTGAGTCGGTTCACTGAGATACTCAGGTAATGTGGTAATTAGTGGATATGGGTAATAAGTGAGTGCGGATGCCCACAGGCCGCTGCATTTCATCAAGGCTATCACCAGCATTTGGATTTATCACCGAGGAGTTTGCTACATCGCTTATGTGCACGGATTTTAGTACATAAAAAATTTAGGAAGATTACCAAAATTGAACATAGAAACGAATCTGTGTCCCTAAACTACCTGAAATTATTCATACAAATGAGTGCAATAACTAACTAGTTTGAGTGGCGTTAGACTCAAGGGCTCAGGTTCTTCATCTTCTTCTTCATCATCTAGGTCTTCATCAGAGCTCTGAACTCCGTGGGACGTGGCGACAGCTGAGGATGAGGCTTCAGAAGGACCTGCTTTAACCTTTCCTTTGCTCACTCTACTGCTGCTGCGTGTAGCTTTCATGGTGGCTGGCCTCGCGTCTCGTGAATGTACAGCTGAGAAAAATACATTTACTGAAATAATTTAGAGTAAAAATAAAACCCATTTAACAAGATTTCATCTTTGTTCTCCAAATAGACTGGCATTGAAAGACTGAAAAGGAATGTAGCTCAGTTTGGGTTAGGTTTCAAGTAAAAATTCAATGGAGATTCTTTTCCTACAACTGCACTCTACTCCTTGTTGGGCAATCATATTGAGTGGGCAGTGTGTGCCTTGTTCTTGACTTCACCAATCTATTCCTCTTTGGCTATTCTCATAAAATGTTCAGGCACTAAATCAAGCAACCAGGTATTAGGTATTCCAAAAAAAATAATAATAGAGATTCATTACATTTAGGTATCTTTTATCTCATTACCTTTAACATGGATCCGATCCATAGCCTCTTTTCGAGGGGATGAGTGAGCAGGGGATGATGGGAAAGGCACTGCATGTGTATGTGAGGGGCTGCTGGTCTCTGCCTTCTTGGGAGTGATGCTATCCGGCCGAAAACTTTTGCGAGGAGTTCCACGGGAAGTCTTCGGGCTGGTCACCAGCATTTCATCAAAGTACATTGGGTTCTTCTTTCGGACTCGAGCAGGCTGGGGAAAAAGTATACATTTTTAATGGAAACAAGTCAAGAAGAGGCAGTCCTCCTGCCTTAAATTCAATCAGCTCTAAAATTAGAATCAATTGGACACCTCTGATAATCTTGATGTTATTTGTCAATAAAATGCATTCTCTGGTCTTCAATCAAACTTTTAGGAAAAAACAACATCTGATGAAGTATAGGTACTAATAAACTTTCTGCACATATGTACAATGATCACAGTACTGGTAATAATTACAAGCAGGTTACAAAAAATATAGAATTCATCCCAATTAACACCAAATGCCTATTTTACATTCCTTGTGTTAGAGAAAAATATTCAAAAAATAGAGAAAAATATTCAAATCTAGCTATTTCTGCTTCATTATATTCTCAAGGCATCTAGGTATAAAAAAAGTAAAAATGTATAAAGAGCACACCACAACACATCCTGGGAGGAGAAATAATAAGATAATGAAATTATGTATTTTAACACAGTCATTCTGTATGTTGAATACTCTATGATTAAACTAGAATCAAAGCAAGCCAAGTATCAAAACAATTATCAAATCTGTATTTCAAAAACATTTGTAACATCCATGTACTCGGTGAGGAAAAGTTTACTAACCATGCCACGCTTGTTGAGTGGTATGGGCACATGGCTGGGAGGAGGTCTCGGTGGCAGCTGCCCAACACGGAGTAGTCCAAGGGCTTGCAGTGGAGATACATCATCAGAGTCCATATCATGAAGTTCTTTTACTGTACCCCTAATGAAACAGGGAAGAAACAAAATAAGAATGTTTTGCAAATTCTAACACTAGAAATATTTAGGCAAATTATGTCAAATATTTTCTACACTTCTGCCTAATCCAAAATCATGCAAGACAATATAAATTTATAGCTATGGTGAAGTTTATCAATTTCATTGCATTTGCAATGATAAAACACAATGATTATTTTGATTAACATTTACTACTAAAATATTATAATTTTCTATACAATTTAATATGATTGGAATTTTTTCTATAGAAAGTTATATAAGCAAGACCCTAGCTTCTCACAGTACATCATTTTTGAGCTAGATAAAGTCCCACAAAATCATGCATTAAGTATTAACAGGTGAAATCATTAATTATGAATTCATAGTGCATCTATAGCAGTGGCACTGGCAGTCTGGCACACAGGCACCAGACTTTTAATTTTTATTATTTTTTCATTTCTTAAGCTGTTTTGAAATTTTATTTACTATATATAAATATATTATACTATACATTTTAAGGCCCTTCTCAGTCTAAGACACTAATCATAATGTCTTTCATAAAAAATACCTAAGAAAAATGGGACATTTCTGCCTGGATTTTTTGTAAATTGCCTATAAAAAAAATCTTTGTTACCTGCATTTCTAGAAAATCAGGGTAATATTTTAGTTGAACTAATTTGATCTATTTCATTAATTTTCATATAACAATATTTTAATTTCCCAACCTAGATGAATTTTACCTTTTACAGAATGATATTTTCATTAATTGATGCAAATTTATTGATTTGATTACTATCCTTGCAGATACATATGAACATTTTTTTNATCTGTATACGGAGCTAAAAATTATGGTTGGCAAAGATATAAAGTATTGACTAGAAGGAATGAATGAATTGAATTTTTGAAAATGAATGAAAAAATGTTTGAAAATTTTCGAAAAAATGAATTGAATTATTTTTCCAATAGCACTGTTTAGCACGATCACATATTTTGATCGTGCAAATGTTGCACGGTCAAGTAGTGGAGCCATCACAAGTAGAAGAACTCCACTTACGACATCTCCAAGCAGGCGTACAGTTACATAGTGGCAAACCACAGCTTTTTTAGAATCAGTTCATTTTTAATTTCCTAATTTACCCAAGATTTAAACCAATTTCTTAAGTATGATGATGCTAGCATAGTGGCAAACCAGAGCTTTTTTGGAATCAGTTCATTTTCAATTTTCCCAAAACTCAAGATTTAAACCAATTTCTTAAGTATGATAATGGTGGTATCCATGATACTTTACTGGTCTACTTATAGGACTCAAAAATGAACTTGAGGGAGAGTCTAAAAAACTCTCTGCTTTGTCACTATGGATGCTAGTATCCAGGATACTTTACTAGTCTACTTATAGGACTCAAAAATGAACTTGAGGGAGAGTCTAAAAAACTCTCTGCTTTGCCACTATGCTTTACTTGTCTACTTATAGGACTCAAAAATGAACTTGAGGGAGAGTCTAAAAAACTCTCTGCTTTGCCACTATGTACAGTTACGTTACGTATCTTCCCGCGCTAATGTTTTGATAATACCACCTCTAGAGTTACGTCATCAAGTTAGCACTTACGCCTCTCTAAGTCGATTTTGCGTACTTACGAAGTTTTGATAATACGGCCCCGGCCGGCCTCCTTCAAGGCTCCTTGCTGATTCTGACCAGAAACTGGCAAACAGAGCTGGAATCGAACCCGCGCCTCTCTGCTCCACTCATGGTACTCTGAACTGTAACCACTGGGCCCCGGCCACCCTGCCCACCACTGCCAGGCTGCCCACTCCAGTTAAAACTTCAACATAATAATGGCTGCTTATTGGATTTGGATAAAATCAAAGTAATTGGGTCATCTGTAACTGTACGAGATATATTGGAACTTACGCTAGTTACGCGAACAAAAGACGAACAAGAAGTTTGTGAACTTCAGTCCACCAATTGCTGGAATTTTTATCTTGATTACCGCCCAACTCAGCCCAAGGCCAGTCTCCAAAGTACTAAATTCGATCTTCCCAGCTCGGACAAGAAAATAACTGATTGTCCGCACTGGCGGTTAGGAAACACATTAGACAATTAATAACATTTTTCTGTATGTTTGCATTTTTTATTATTTCAGATAATGATAATAACAAATTTGAATTTTGATAATTCTTTTATGATTATAATTGTGCAATCTTATCTACGATCGGTACTTTTTCTACGCCACACACACTGTTTGCATGGTTCCATCAAGTTTAGTCTCAGCCTCTACCTTGTCAATTGTGTTAAAATACCATCGAACATTACCACCTCTGATTCAGTCCTCCTAAACTCCCGCCGCCTTTTCCTTTCCAAGGAAAACAATTTCATCATTCCAACAGTTAGGAATTAACATTGTGCAGTGACTAGACCTCACCATAAGCACCTATCTGAGTAGTAATCAGAATTAAAATATCGATGTAGAGCTTTTCGAGATTAAACCCTCGATGCTAGATTGCCCCTTCAAGAAGACTGGACAGGAGGAGTCGTTTTCGTTTAGTAGGGCCGAGATAATGAAGAGTCGAAGTCCTCAACAGTACATCCTTATAGGGCGTTTCGAGGAGCTTCAATTATAACAAAACGATTTGTGCAAACAACTTGATGTTATTTCCACAATTGATGAAGTTGTGACAAATATGAAACTAACCGCGACGCTTCCGATGATTAGGAACCTGCTGTAGTTAAGATAAAATTCGGAGCTTGCAGGGATTAGTAATGAAATTGATGCGGTGAGTTTCATGCCAACATGGTCACACTATCCTCAAATTGCCATAATTCGATGGATACAACCTAATTTACATAATTAATGAGGATAATTTTAACCCACTATTTTGACCGCACTAATTTGAGGTTACAAAGCAACGACAACTTTAAATGCAGCAGTACTGAGTATGAAGTATGAAGTACTGTGTATGAAGTACTGCAGTATGAAGATTCTACAGGCCAGAATCCATATAAGCCTGGAGTCGAGCAAGTTTCAACACTGCTGTGGGGGCGAATATCGGAAGATGCATTGAAAAATTCACGACGTCACCGTGTCGTATTTTTTTGAACATGTTAGTTGGTGGCGTATACATAAGCTTGTCCATGCTGCCAACATCACTCGTCACGACATGCAACGATTATTACGTGCTGCAAGGTTCTGAACTTCTGATGTTACCTAACTCAGCTTCTTCAAAACTTTCTTTTAACAAAATTTGTGAGACTGTTATGACTACTTGTGATTTGAGCAAGATTAGCAGTTCATGAATTCACTTGGTTTATTAGATGTCGCCTTGCCAAACAGACAGTGGCTGCACGCAACTTGAGGACGTTGGCATAGTTTCTCCTTTCGAGTAATTTCCAACTCTTGGCTAATGCAGCACGGTCAATTGATTAATGAATTGCGCATCTATCCGGCTAATCCTATAGGGAGCAGCAACAATTTTGTATATTGATACTTGTTGGTCAGATAATTAATTTAAAATCTAACCATGTGTATGGATGAATGTGATCTCCATTATCTCACTGAAGTTAGGTAACCTCATAGCCTGTAAAATTGGTGCTCGAAGCCGCTATCGCCAGGGTGAGCTGTGCTTCAAATCGCGTTATAAATTGAGCACCAATTTTGTGTGAAATATTGTTCGAATATCAACTAGTATAAGTATTCAGAGAGAACACAATTTTTTATAATTTAACTATATTTTGTATCCGGGGGCACAGTACTGCGTTCAATGCTTTGTCTGACTTCTCAAAATAGCAAATTCTCAGCTAGCCGACCCAGATCCCGCCGATGAGGAAAAATACCAGTAATTACTGCCCTTATAATTACATTACCACGGACAGAGGTGCATGAAGAAGCTCCGTTTGCCGTCTTCTTCTTCTATCTGCTTTCTGAGGACTTGGTTCTTCACCACTCGCCTCACGTCCGGACAGGCAGCAAGGTTTGGGCCGCACAAACCTGAGGGCAAAAGCCTCGGTAAGTTAGCAAAACTGAGATAACATTTTTTATAGAAGTGTCGGCGCTGAAGAAGTAGGCCCATGGCCTGTTGCCGATTCTTGAACTTTTCGTGACTTGTTCATAGATCTAAACTCGTGTCATTTGACCGGATCTTTTCATGACTGGCGATAGTTTGAAGTAGCTACTAGACTTCCACCGGGTTCGATAAGGAGCTAGGCATTTCAAATCTGAACATATATTTTTCCATAGCTTTNGTAATTTGCTAGGCATTTTAAGACTGAACATATGCTCCTGCATAGCTTCGTCTAGTCTGTTTTTGAAGATGTTCATACTCGGAGCGTCAACGATGCTATCAGGGAGGCTGTTCCACATGTCGGTGTCTCGAAGCGAGAAGAAATGTTGTCGCATGGATGTGTTCCAACGCTGTTTTTTTAGTTTATACCCGTAGCCCCTGGTGTTGGTTCGTGTTTCAAATTCTAGTAATCCTTCTGGGGCCTTGTATAAGTCATGAGTATACTTCAATGAGGTCCCCACGCATTAGGACCTACGGTGGTATTGAGCTCGCTAAAATTTTATCCATTTCGCCTTCATTCGCGAGTTATACCGCGATACCGGCCGAAACTTTCCTTCTGCACACATAGGCCTCTATTTAGTTCGAACGGTATCCCTACTACCGTTTAGGTAATTTAATTAACTAACGGCAATTTCTAGTGCTTGATGTAAGATGAATGAGATGTAGTCCATATATTTGCAAGATATGTTGTAATAGGTTTAGCTGTATGATATATATTATTGAGGTTTCTGTTGTCGAAATGTTTTCATCTTGGCTTTGTTACCTGCATCGTATTATTCGCATATGTGTCGATTTAGCTATGTAACTGATTATATTTGCTTATACATGCATACATATGACGTAAATATTATGTCATTATATTTATAGATGCAAAAGTCACTAATGCACTAATATTAAAAAAAAAAAAATCATTGAAGCCTAGCATAAAAGTTTGGATCACTGAAATTATTGTGAAGAATTTTGTGTCTCTTTTGTAATGCAAGTATATTGTTGCCATGTGTGTGAACTGAACGCTCGTAAACAAATCAACTGTGATAATGAAATAATAGAGACCATTCATTTCCTTACTTTTATCTATCGAAGAAATAAGTTGCTATTAATCTGGGCTCCTGAATTATAAATTCTCCTTGACGGATAATGAACCAGGTTTTTTTTTAATTATTCCTGAAAAGTTTGTATGTGTTTCACCGACCACCGTTCACTCACGAAGTCATTTAATTTTTGTTCATGCTAAACAGATATGCTAATCATAGTGGCAAAGCAGAGAGTTTTTTAGACTCTTCCTCAAGTTCATTTTTGAGTCCTAAATGTAGACAGAGTAAAGTATCCTGGATACCTGCATTATTATACATAAGAAATTGGTTCAAATTGTGAGTAAATGAGGAAATAAAAAAATGAACTGATTCTAAAAAATCTGTGGTTTGTCACTATGATATTGCTAATGAACATAATTTTACTCCGAAGAACTGTAAAACTTTTACTTGAAATTCTTCTGTCTGTTTCCTTAATAATTCTGTAGAATTTTACCCAAGCTGGTCTCTCCACTGAAAATTTCTTTCTTGTTAATTACGAAGACTTGACTTCATCAGTAGCCTTACTAGGTAGCCTAACCAAATTAGCTACAAATTTAAATTGGTGCAACCGTGCCAGTCTAGAGTCTAGCTCTGACACGTAGTGCGGTGTTTTGAGAGTCACATAAAGCAAACAGAACTTGAGTAACGCATACGGTTATTTTTTTATAGTTTTTCATTTCTCGATGCGTCCTTAATGTGACGGAATATACCGCGTTTACCCTAATATCCTGGCTCTAAATCCATGGTCAGGAAGATGTGCCAGGTGCGCGGGAATTTATATTGTCATTTTAACAACCTGCGCGGTGCGCCGTACTATGCCGGTAAAAAAATGCGCCGTGCACCGTACTTTTAGAAAGCTAAAATAGTTTAAATATGGATGCGCGGCAACGCAAATAACGTAATCAAACTGACCATACACACAAACATGTATCTGCATTGTGTTGTGGTTGGATATGAGTTAACTAGATTGCTAACGCGTCAACTCGGGACTCAGGTTCTAAGAGTCAGCACTGCACAGTGCACAGTAATGAATATTCATTCATAGATCACAATTCAATTGGACATGAATTACAGAACTAAAGATGGCAACATGGCTTTAGATATGCCATTGCCCATTGTCATAGCGGCAAAGCAGGAGTTTTTTATACTCTTCCTCCAGTTCATTTTTGAGTCCTATAAGTAGACCAGTAAAGTATTATGGATACCAGCATTTTCTTACATAAGAAATTGGTTTAAATCTTGAGTAAATGAGGAAATAAGGAATGAATTGACTCTAAAAAATCTCTGATTTGCCACTGTGCCCATCGGTGCCTTCTAATGAATGACTGGACTGGTTGTGGCAAGTAGGGTGTGAACCTGTACGTCAACAGTACTCTCCTGCATGCCAATGTTGGGACTACATTCCCAACATCCTCCAGGCTGGCGAAATCGACACAATCAATACCTAATAACAATGCGCGTAAATGGACTAGACAAATTAGGTCAATATGGCAAAATTACAGAGCGTAATTATACTATGTGATACAAAATATGAATATATATATGTATTTGCAAGATAAGTCAATGGTCTGTTGTTTATTTTTGCTTCATTTGAGCAATTATGGTTTCCAAATCTGGGTGTGTTATGTTATGTCATGTGTACTTTGAATGTGCAAAAATTACAACTATCATATGAAAATTGTTACGTAGGTTATCCTAACACAAATCGCAATAGAGTATCAAGTCTCAAGATTGCAGTTCTGCCACCACCCACCATCCTTCATTGAATTATCCCACCTTTTTTTTTTAAATTCAATAATCTCTCTTCCAGAAAAGTTTGCAAAATTCATCAGCTGCATAAAATACTCTCTGCTGTGGTGTTCGAGTTCCGGTTGACATGAAAACTTGCGGTAAACTTGTGGTTCCAAAAATTGTGGGAAAGCTCTAATCGCGCCGCTCTGAAGGCAATCGATATAAATAATAATATAATCCACGCCTATGCTAGAGGAAGTTCAAACTTCAGAGGTGGAACTTAATGCAGTAAATTTGCAGTAAGTCAGAAAATACCAGAAAAATACCAGATTTCGGCATATATACCAGATCTAAAATATTCATACCAGACATCTGAAAATACCAGATTTGTGAAATCTGGTATAGAAATATACCATCTGGCAACGCTGGACTCGACTGTTAAACAAATACTCGCCTTAAGTCAATAAAAAAGTTCATTTCTGTTATTTAGTACAATGCTTCTTTCCAGAATTTCCATTACTAAAACTTATTTATTAGCATGCTAATATCATAGTTGCTAAATTGCAAAGCAATCATTAGTAAAAAATTGGTGAGGCTACCTATAAGCAAGAACAATAAGAAAATTCTTGGGAGGACCTTTGAGCAGCCAGGCATGGTAGTGGTAATGGTAAAGCAGGGAATTTTTTCAGACTAATTTTCAAGTTTATTTTTGAGTCCTATTTATAGACCAGGAAAGTATCATAGATACCAGCTTTATCATTTATAAAACATTGGTTTAATAAATCTTGATTAGATGATAAAATTTGAAAAAAGCTGATGATGATTCAGCAAGATTTCCACTTGATGAATAATTTTTTTCAATTGTTGACAAAAGTGAATAATTGCACCAGCCAATTGCAAAGTTGTCAAAAGTGTTCCAAGCTCTACACAATTCTGGATTCATTTTAAAACGTTAGCATTGTAAATTTTGCATAATATTAAGCAAAGCATAAATTTTATTCTAACTTATTGTTTTTCTTTTCAGAAATCATAGGAGCACAGGTCTTACAAACGTGTTGGAGTCTACATAATCCATTATTGAATTATTTCTTGTTCAAGTCTTTATTCAGCATTCATGATTCAGTTTATTGAGTTGCTCATCAAGTATTATGAGAACTACCACCTTAAATTTCCAGCAATGAGCTTTTACTGCAATGGTTCTGATGCTACAAAGTGAAATCAATCTTGTTGATAATCACTTACCTTCTGCTATTATATTCGTTCTAAGTTAGAACAATTTTGATTGTTGTTGTAGCAACCAATAAGAAATTATCCTAGGAACATATTTTATTCTAGCTTCTTGAACTTCTCACTTCCATAATGATGACCAGCGGAGGTGGTGGCCTTATCACCACCCAAGCCACACAACAAGACCTTTCTCCTCAGGAAAGTCAATACTCTCTCAAGTGGAACAACCATACCTCAACTTTCTGTCATGTCTTATCTACGTTGAGAGAAAAAGTAAGTGCTTTTTTTTGCTTGGTTCCATTTATACAGTTCTCTTACCTATGTTATCTATTTCCTGCAAACTTTCTGGTTTCACTTGAAAATCTTTACACCATGTTCAGTATTATCTCACAAAATGTACCCATGCATTACAATTCCACCAGATTTACTGAATAATTTATAAATTGATTTTGATTTAGAAGAAGAAACTGAAAAAAGTTTTATTTTGTGCTGTATTTTTGTCTATATGTAGCTCAGGCTGGCTTAGATAAATACCATTATACCAGTATGTATGGTTGTCATTTTAGGTGCCTGTATCTTCAGTCTTTATTTTTCTTTCTACATGTGCAGATCAGATCCCCAATTAATGACTGTAAAACTTAGAGTTGATTAGTTAGTCAAAGATATTGAGCATTTTTGTTGGATGTGTTCATACTCTGAAGTCTGGAGAAGTGTCAACTTGTTACACTTTGTGTATGGTTTGCTCACAATATTGGGTTGCTAATATTATGAGATTGTTCTTGCTCATTTGATTTTATTTCATTGCAAGCTAAGCCACTGTTAACAATTGTGTTTCTTCACATGCTTCTATTGTTGCAAAATTAAATTTTCTTGCTTGTGTGCAGGACAAGTACAGTGATGTGACACTGGCATGTGAGGGACGCTTCTACAATGTGCACCGTCTGGTGCTGGGAATTTGTAGCGATTATTTTGATGCCATGTTGGAGCGCACCCCATGCAAGCATCCCATTATTGTTCTTAAAGACATCAAAGCAGAAGATCTTGAATCTCTCTTGAGCTACATGTATATTGGCGAAGTGTCTGTCAGTCATAGCGATTTGGGACGCCTCATTAAAGCTGCTGAATTACTTTGTATCAAAGGTTTAGCTGTTCCTGATGAACCTCCTCCAGGCTATGCTGATGCTGGCTTAACTGCCTCAGTTGTGAGAGATAAACATTCTAGCCTCATTTATGATACCAGTGAAGGAAATGTCATGACCTTTGTTGCACATGGAGCTGAGACTGAACAGCAAGTGCAGTGTGCTACTGAACAACCATTCCGTAATACCCGCAGCAGCCCTCCTAATAGAAAGAGGCGCAAAGAAGAACACATTAGCAGCAATAGTAGTGGCAGTGTTACAATGGTTACCACAAACTCCTTGCTTATGGCTGCTGCTGAAAATGGTACTTCATGTCCAACTGTATCTGCTGGTGGTGTGCTTAGCTCTACTGTAACTGTGGATGAGACTGGGGGAGGAACACTTGTTTATCATCAGACTTCACCATCCCTTCAGCCTGGTTCACCACCCACCTCTTCTAGCTCATTAAATGGCAGCACAGTTGTGGTGAGCCAACTGCTATCATCTGCTGTCATTACNACGGTATTTTCATGCTCAATGTGCACTTGTAGTGTACAGCGAAAAACTGTTCTTAAAAATTTATAGGTAAAAGTTTTACCGGAAGCTTGTAACAATTTTTTTACTAGTTTACAGCAGTTGTCTTCGTAAAATATTGATAGTATTCTTAAAAATGTGTTCTATCTCTATATAGTTTGATGTTTTGCAGCAATATTCCTATAAAATTCTTACCTGTTGTGCAGGTTTGAGACTCATTCAGAAGGTAATGGGGCCCAAGGGTCGAGTGACGGCGGGTCTCACCAGCCGCAGCCTCTTGCCGAAGCGGTGGCTGAAGCTTTAGCTGGACCATCTGGCCTGCAAAGTGTCAGTCCCCAATAGTTGAATATCTAACTATGAATAAATAACTAATTATCCAGTGACTTGCTTGCTGTGTTGTCTGCATGGGCAATGAATAGTTGAAAAGCTAACTTTAACGAATGAGCTTCAATTAAATATACAAACAGTTGGTGTGCTGGGTGGCTTGTACCGTATGACGGATGAATGATGAGTTACTGGCGTGCTGGCTGGTCTGCGCGAGTGGTGAGTGTCATGTTGCAAGAGTGCCTTGTATTCTAAGTTTATGAATATGTAAATGTAAATTTTAGCTTATGTTCTTGCTCATTCAGAAGGTAACGTGTTCTGCTACGATGATATGGTGTGTGATGTTTGATACCTGTGTGAGTTATGTTGATTATATTGATATTGAATTTATGCAGTGGCTTAGCGCCGGGGAGACAAGCTTTTCGACTGTGGAGAGCTATGCAGCCACGGCCGGAGAGCTTGCCCAGCATGGCCTCAAGACGCAGAATGTACCACATTTGCCACTGGTGAGTTTCAATATCACTTTTTACATTCATAGTTTTTTTTATAATTTTTAATTATACATTTTGTTTCCAATTCTGATATCTCAAATTGATGTTTTTTCCCTAATTCCGAAATCTTAATCCTATATCAATACGGAATTGCACCTGTTATGCACATTACACATACGGGTATGTTCTGCCCGAAACTAGAAGTAAAGTTTTGCCCAATTGTTCTCAATCTCCTTTTTGATAAATTAGCGACCAAAGGAAGGTAAATTAACTGTTGCTGATAAAATTAGCAGAATTTGTTCTCGGCCAATTTATTCCTGTTTCCTAACGTCTTGTTACTTTGCTAGTTCAAAACTTGTGCTTTTCATTTTTACGGACGATGGTTCAAAGTGGAAAAAAGTTGAAAATATGTACAGAAAAACAATATTACTTCTCTTTCCTTATGGCTTACGTTTTGTTTCTGCTAATGTCAAAATACAGCAGGAATTTTTTCTCTAGATATGAATATTGTTCATTCTTATTTTTTAAGTTACTCTCCCTCTTCTGTTGCTTAAATTAAAATTTTCTTAGCAAGTGATTCAATTTAGTTTTAGGTTTCTTCAATCCAATAAAATCATTTGAGACTCATTATAATCTTAGAATTTACAGCAAAAACTGTCTCAAGGTTTTTCTTATCATTCCCGTCTTTGTTATCGTCGGATTCAAAGATCGTGGCGCGCTTCTACCCATGCCTCCATCGTACGCACTCATTTTGATAACAACTGTGTCGTGACTATAACGTTAAGTTACAATTTTATCTCTAATTAGATATAATTAATAAAATTTTTAATTAATAAAATCAATTCCTTTTTTTTTGTTGGAATGGTGAGTGTGGGAGGCCTTTAAAAAAAAAAATTAGATATATGTAATAGCATTTGTCGCTGATACATGTCAGACCGATCGCTTCGAGTGGCCGAAGATTGTGGATGAATGCCAAATGAATGACGATTGAACATTACCATCTATAACAGAAAAGAGATTAGCACTGCTGGATTGTCGAGAAATGCGGACTGTTAATGCCTATTGCTTACTTCTGAAAGCGATAAGTGGAGCCACTCAACTAAGTATTAGCGAGAATTTGAACGTTTATTTGGAGCCTTGTAGTGTTATCTTCCGATGAAATGTTAGATCATTAACCATAGTCAATACTACTCGCACTTGAAGCCGTAGAAAAGGTAGATAGTTTTCACTAGTAGACCAAGGTTTAGACTTTTGTCTTAGTACTTTTCAACTGTCGTCAATGCTATTCTTACTTGAGGCAAGGCGTTGTAAAATAAATTCCATTAATGGGAACAAATGCACAAACAGCCGTAACTACTTCTCATCCTGAACTCATCCTCTCATTCTTCAGCTTTTAATCTAATGGCTGCGTTGTGTTTTACAAAGTGATCTTCTCTCTTTATGCCTGAACTTATTCCATGCTTTCCGATGTCCAATTCTCTTCTTAAAGTCGTTATTGGAGGCTCAGGTAGCATTCAATATAAACGGTTCTGCGATCACAAAAGTTGGCGATGACGGAGAGGATCGTTTGCGATTTCATTTTGTTATTCTTATGTTTTTAATCTTTTTTACCTTACTGCTGGGTGATAATTGTTGTGCAAAAATAGGCTTGGTTGTAGAGAAATGACAATTGTTGTGCAGATGCAGAACAGGTTATAAGAAGCGCACCAGAAAGTGCAATGGTGAACTTGAAGCAAGCAGTTGACAATGCACTCGGTACAATTGTGGATGAAATAGATAATTTATAGTTTAGTCAATTGAATGTATCAAAATTTATTGAACTAACAGTTCACATATTGCGATATAGATTATTTTTGCAAATATGACGATAGTGTTGTAAATGTCGTTAAGATATTGTTACAAACGTATGAAGATGAGCGCATTCAAGCAACCCTGAAAGTTGTGGTGCTGCTGCTGCTGCATTTTTGCCCGTTGTCCTTATAATTTTCCTGTACTTCTGTGTGAAGTATCAGCATGTAACTGCTGCTATTACTCACTCGTGTTGTTGTTATTGTTGTAGGACGGGGCGAGCAGCGGCAGCAGCAGCACCACAACCACGGTCACGGTAGCCGCTGTTCCCAGCACCAATATCGTCGCCAACAGCAGCATCGTGGGAGCCATCATCCCCACCTCGACCGCCAAGCGCATGTGTCTAGGCAACTTTGCAACAACGGCTGCTGCCGCCTCTCCTGCTAGTGCCACTACTGCTGGTGCCGGTGCCACACCAGCGACGGGAGCCAGTAACCAGCTAACCTGTCCTCACTGCTACCGCAACACTTTCCGCCAGACCAGTGATCTGAAGCGCCATATCCGCATCCATACAGGGGAGAAACCTTACCAGTGCAGCTCATGTCCATACAAAGCCAGCCGCAAGGACCTTCTCCATACGCATTGTGCCAAGATACACAACTACGGATTCACGTCTGCCTCCAAATCTGAAGCTAAGGAAACCATCAAAGAAGAAAAGGAGTCCAGCAAAAAGAAGTGGACCGCTTCCTCTAATTCCGAGAGCAAAGAGTGGGAATGGTGATCAGCCTTCCACTCTTAACCTGCTTCTTCCGCTTGAGCTTCTGTTTGCTTTATGAATACAATCTCATTCATCGTGAATTGTATTCGTAAAGAAATACCTACATTCGTTGCTAAATTAATTAATTCTCAGAAGTGGCACAGCTAGCAAAAAATGTTTTCCAATTATGAAATTAGTGTCTAGGACGAATATTGCTGAAAACTGGCTCATTTAATACTTTGGAAATGTAATTTTTGTTGACGCTATTTATATTCGATTGGAAATTTTTTTTGCCTAATTTATCTTGTACATATTATTTTTTATATTTGTAATTCTCGCCTGTCGATTTATTTAAAAATAATCCCAAGGTCCATAAATATTCAGGGTGAGTCAAAGCTGTTCAAATTTGCATTTGGATTTATGAGAAATTTTTCTCAAATTTGCTAATGAGCAGAAACCTGGTGACAACGTTACAAAGCTTGTATATTGTACAGTATGTAGTATGTGCCGCTTTAATAAAGTAGTTGAATTCAATCGGGATAATGTATTGAAATTTTAACAGTCGGAGGGAAGAGGTACAGAGTACGATACCTTAACTCATTTCCACACTTACTGCTTAACGTGCCCACAAGGATGCTATGTCGCCGCACTCAGGATATATAATGGTTGCTTGTCAGTCACTATGACGTATGATGGATGCTGTCGTGTCAGTAACAACTGCAAATGAAATGAAAACGAATTTTTAGAGGAGATTGTTATACGAGTGTATCAATAATTGTTGTTTATTGACACTCACCGGCTTTTAAAAAGAAGAGCAAGTTATTCAGGGCCCAGGTGAGGAGCCGTCTAGTAGGTGGTGGTTCGTTAGTGTAATTCCATCCTCATCCGTACGGAGCCCCGATGATAATCCAATGCACGGATGGGCACAAAGGTTGGCTGGCAACTGGAACAACACAGGTGGTGGCAGCAAGGATTGTGGCTGAAGATAATCTGCATGTTGGTGGCCAGCGTTTCTCGATTTTGGTTTCACTGGAGGGAGAGCCTTAAAACCCGTTTAAGCATAGTCGACACCTACATGGCGGCTAAATGACAGCATTAAATTTTAAATGTGATTAGACAAGGATAATTATAGCGAAACGGACTTAACCCCTTCACAATTAGTTGCCAGTAAAAAATTGAAAGGTGATACCTATACTTGAATTTTAACCTTTTTGACAAAAAGTTACGAACTCGACTTTTTATGATAGTACTGCCTCAGAGCGTCAAGTTGAAACCATTCATAATTATGGCACGGTCAAGACTCGTCCCGTCGCCACGCGTTACGCCACACATCAAACGAAGTTCAAAGCTGTCTGTGACTTGTCCTGATCTGCGCATACGCGGCTTACTGCTTACACGTTATTCCTACATTACATTAAGAGTGCCCTGTATAGTCTTATTATGCAAATTGGAATATTAATTACTTTCATAAGAACAAAGGAGGAATATGCCTCGTGTTTAAGGGTCGTGAAATTGAGAGAGTTGAAGTTATTGTAATAAAGAGAGAATATAGGGTATTTTGCTTATTATCCACATTTATTAATGGTTCGCTGAAGATCTAACTTGCCGGGCTACATGGCGTTTACTGGAGTTCAATCGTGCATTAAACAGAATATGGATTGTAAATTAAATAAAAAATGTTTAATAATTGGCAAGTTCATCTAAAATCTTATTTCAAGAGAGTTCATCACTTGACCTCCACGTGACACTCGGGTGTGCTGAGATCAGCTCTCTTCAAATTCGGATCCTAGTGTTGTTGCGAATCCTGATCCATAGCGACAGAAAGATTCTGTAGTATTCAGGATTGAAATTGGTTCTCGAACTGCCTTCTGCTCCCCTGTATGTAGATTCACCTTTTGATAATAGGATTAATTTATGAAATGTTTCGTGTGATTTTAGTCCACTGTCGTGATTATACACATAGTTGGGGTATATTATGGAAGAATTTAACTGGACATCATAGCTCGAGGATACTCGAGCTTAGCTCAGATTCATTTTTCAGCGATACTTTATACTTTTTGAAGTAGCTTGATACTTTTCGAAGTAGCCTATTTATTAATACTTGAATAGTTGATACTTTTTGAAGTTAATCTTTTAATTTGGGTTTTCTATGCTTTGTTGCATGGGGGAAAAAATATAACTCAGTACTCACTGCAGTGAGTGACAGAGCGCTCATTTTCTCGTCGACGAAAACGTGAAGTCACGGACGGACAGACGGCCATGGCGAGCACAATAGTGCATTTTTTCCATAAATGAGAAAATGCGCTAAAAAGTCGCTGAAACTTGCAGAAACTTGGCCTTGAGCAAGGTAATTTTAACACGCATTGTGATGATCTTTCACTAACTTATTTGTTATTCTGTAGCTGGCTGAGGACCTTGGAGGATCACAAGGCTCTGGCAGCGGAGTTTGCACCTCCCCAGGCGTCGGTGAAACCAGTCTGCCTCCCGCCTCGGGCGATGGCAGCGACAACGGATCTGATGCGGTGGCCACTTCAATACCTTTACCAACACACTTGACTATCACGAAAAGCGGTGGCAGTTTTAGCAGCATCCTGCACCAATGTCCAAGCTGCTCCTACACAACCTCACGTACCGACAGCATGGAAATACATTTACGTACACACAGCGGCGAGAAACCTTTCGCTTGTGTGTATTGTAGCTACCGCACGGCACGTAAATGGTCGTTATCCGTACATCTCAAGACACATACCGGCGAAAAACCTTACCACTGTCCTAACTGCCAGTACCGAGCTGCCAGGAAGGATGTGCTAAACGCACATCTTAAAACGCATTTGCAGGTCAAGAGAGAAGCGGACGAACAAGTTGACTGAGAAATCATTATTTGCTGATCTACGAAGTAAAATTATTTAATTTTTTGTGAGACAATGTCTCCTGTTGAGTCAAGATATATAATAGAATATAATAAGTTAATTTTTGCCGCTGTGTATTGTTTTTGGGTGTTATCTATTTCTCTTATTTTGAAAGCTTGTGGTTGTTATAGGCCAAGACTGCATGTCTCGTCGTACGCTGATGTTCGATGTCCGTGTTCACCTTGTAGCTGAAAGTAGTTCTTATTTTTTTTCAAACACGAAGAGCGGGGCAATAGTTACGTTGAACGTTAAACTCGGAGAAAATTGCCGGATTTAACACGGCCCTGATGACGTTAATGGAGATTTGAACGCCCACTTAAGCTACCAAATCCGCTTAACTTCTGCAGCGAGAGATCAACGAGAATTTTTTCCCTTCTTCTTGCGTTGTAGTTCATGGTTGTCTTGAATTAGGTTACGGCATAGCATGAACTTAGAACGTACAATTCATGTTTGTATTTAGATGAATCTATCAACATTGTATTTAGATGAATCTATCAACATTTACATTACCATTGTCGGTCCCTCCATTATATTGTTCTCACTCAGAGCATTGTACTATTCCGGAACGGAAAACGAATTTTCGCTAAATTATTTAACCTAAAAATTGAATTCTTATTTAAAAAAATCGAATAAAAAATTCGAAAATGAATTCCTATATAAAAATCGTATGAATTTAATTCTTTCATTCCCATGTAATGTTCGAAAAGTTTGGTATGCTATGACATAGTCTCTTATTTAATTTCGTGATTAATTATTTAAGTAATCATGGGTCATGTATTTGCTTTGGTAGCTAAAAATTTCATATTCATAATCATTAATATGGTTCAACTAGCAGAGGTAATTCTAAAGCTAAAATTTAAAATCGTTTTATTGTTTGCTGTTGTAGTGCAATTCTTTCACCGTGTGCCACTCATAAAAAAGTCAATTTATTTTTTCTTTATTTCCTAGTAGAATTTCAAGGAACCGCAACCAAATCCTTTGTAAAAGCCATTGCTTCCATAAAATGTAATTGCACCCCAGAAAAATTGCTGTCTTCAAGGGCTGAACAAATTTTCACCCCGTAAATTGGATTATATTCGAGTTGAATCAGACTTCATTTTTCCTGAAGTTCGACAATATTTGCCGAAAATATTTACCAGACAGTCTGACGACACAGGATGTGCACAATGTGTGTAGGTGTAACGAGTGTGTACACAATGTGTGTACCGAGTTTGTCAATCTTTTCCTTCACAAAGATGGATGCTCCCCCATACGTACATGCCGTACAATTGTAGACTCGCAAAGCCACAATTTTACCCGTGGATTCACCTTTATCAGCTCTCCTTGTAAATTCACAGTTAGAAACTCGCAGTTACAAAGCCTAAATTCCAAAACTATAATCGCCTACACTCTAAGTATCAAAGTATTATAGAGGCGTAATTTTTGACACACAACTCTCTTTATATTAGTTCTTTTAATTATAATGCTTAACTATGAGCGTCTGTCCAGTTCATGGCCATGACAAGTTTAATGCGGATGCAGAGCTTGCAGTGACGATGAATAAGCAAGGTACGTTGTTTATCACCCAAACAATTGCTTCAACCCAAGGATAAAAAGCGATACTTTTGTCGGTTTACTGACTGAACTCGGATAATGATTATGACACTTATAAACTTACCAAACTGTCAAATTCAATAAATATGTTGAAAAAAATACATAGTGCACGTCTTTTAATGCCGTTCGAATTAAAATTATTTTCGTGGCGACCGATGTATGAAGTTGAAAATACTTTTTAGCGCATTTTATCATTTATGGAAAAAAAGAAGCTATTGTGCTCGTCATGTCCGTCCGTCTGTCCATCCGTGACTTCAAGTTTTCGTTGACGAGAAAATGCGCTCCCTGTCACTCATTGCAGTGAGTACTGAGTTATATTTTTTTCTCGTTATGCTGTTCTTGTTACTCTTGTAACTGTTTTTTCTTGTTTATCGATTCTTGTTCCTCTGTTTCTTCTTGTCTTTTGATTCTTGTTACCCTGAACGAGTAGGTCAGATTGACGTCGAAGCAAAAGTGGATTGACATTTCGTCTGCAAGACGCTTGTTAAAAAAACGCTATATCAATTTTTTTTATTGCCGTGTATAAATCTGGCCGAAAGAGAAACGGATCAAAGTAGCTTAGCTATATTATGTTCGCAAACGCTCAGGTTTTAGACGAGAGGCGCTAGTTTCAATTATTTTCAGCAGAACTAAAAGCTAAAACAGGGCCTGCAACTCATGTCATCAATTGGCATAAACTATTAACTTTTTATATTAATGCCACAAAGGTTATGTGAGTTAAGTTCCGATCTCTCAGCGGCAATGGCTCTATCTGAGTCGGATTTTTTTACGGTGGAACATTAGGCTTATGCAACTTCTTGTTACCCGCCGGCCTGGCAAATGCAGAACATGTTCGTGCCTCTGAGAAGCAATAAACTGGTCTCGCCGCTCATGCTTTCAATCCTAGCGTGAAGCAATGTTGCAATTGTCAAATTTGATGAGCAAAGTTTACATATCATGAGAGCTACAATAGTGACGACGAAACTATCACCGTTTCATGTGTCTCGTGTGAAACGCGAGATTATTCAGAGAAATTTTCATGTCCCTGCTAGTGGCAACATCATTTTCTGCGTTGTCGGGTGATTTGGCAAATGTAATAGTTGACGCTGAACTAGCCCCGAAGCAACGTTGTAATAAGTTTTAAGAGAAGTGAAAATGTGTTATTGATTTATTCATCTTTATTTTGAACGACCTTGCTTGTGAATAGTGAAATAATAGGGAAACGTAGCTTTTAGAATCGATGGATATTATTCAAGGTTTTACTGGTTCCGCGATATTGGTTGAAAACCGCGCCAATGTTCATGTCTTTGGCAACACTTGCAGCCCAGCAATTGCAGCGGTGTGTCTTGACGCTGCTGCCCGGGGAACCATTGCTCGCGATCAGGCACATGGTGATCCAGTTAGCTCGAACTTGTCAAATGATACTCGAGAGAAAGCTCGTTGCTTCATTCGCAGCAATTTTTACATTGACGACGGATTGAGGGGATGCATGCCAGAGGCCATCACTGCCCATGTCCACAATTCAGTACTTATGCCTTTCCGAGTGTAATCATGATAGAGGGCATAGTAGCCAGTACGATTAAGTGCATAAAGCCTTAAATGCCGTTTCCTTTCATGGAAGTGAATCAGTGAGCCAAATAGCATCAAGCCGCCAAAACAATAGCCGTGGTCAAACAGCCAAACTGCCTCGAGCTGGTGTAAAACACAGCCTGGCCTCTTCGCGATTTTTGAGAAAGAGCGCCCCACACAGCGCCGTTCAGTCACAGGCTCCCAGCCACTGCGTCATGCCGCCGCATGCCGAAGCTCATTTGGCCTAACCTATTACGCCATGCAGCGGCGCTCCCCCTTCCGCAGCCAGAAGATTTTCCTCACTCGCAGTGACTCACTTATCAGTCGTGCGCCAGGCGCGGAGTGAGGGTATACATGAATTATTGCTCTCCGAGCAGCTCGTCAACGCTCGTTATTCATGCATTTGATGCTGTTGGAAATTGTTTCTGCACGATACTCAATTCCGGATGATGCATTAAGGGAAGGCGAACATTTGTTATCTTCTTGTAGTTTGTTCACATGGCGGATTCAATGAATGCATCATACCCTGCTGCGCAAGGCCCTTGTACAGCAATCGCACATCATTCTATTAGGATCACGTTTAGGCGTTAGAAATAATATACACTCATGATTTTTTCTGGGTTTTCAGCTGTCCGAGTTCAGCGAGAAAAGTAATCATCTCTACATTCAGTATTAGTACTGAGTACAACTCCGTTTTTCTAAAGGATTTCAACCCTTTAAAGAGAGAGAATTTTCGGAAGAAGTGGCAGGAGAGAATCAGGCGGAAAAGCACGGAAAATCAGGTCAAGCACTCTCGCAATGTCAAGACAACACCGGCCGCATACGATCAGTTAGCGGAACTGGAAGACAAGTAAACAGAAGTCATGTCCACTGACCTGTAAGTAATGTAAGAAGCAACCGCATAAATCAGTGAAAGTGCCAAAAAAGTTTTAAAATATTTTTACACGAGCTCGGATTCCGTTTTGAACAAAAAAAGTGAACTGACAACTGTGATCGCAAACGAGTGTATAGACATTATTTGTATTACAGAAACACTCCCTAAAATCACGGGGGGAAAAATGTACCTGTTGAATTCAGTTGCCAGGTTTCGATTAGACTCCTGCGTTTGTTATTTTTTTGTATCCGAGACGAGACAACAGGCTCTGTCCCGGTTCGCAATAAAAACCGGGATAATCTTCAGCCGTCCGTAGGAATTCCGGGACGATACCGAGACGAGACGAGACATCCCGGTTAAAGTAGGTATTTTAAAATTTCCCGGAATTTATAGCCATTTTAACGAGACATAACGAGAAATAAGGAGACGAATCAATTATTGATGTGGTGTAAACTACTTTGGCTTACCGTCATACATTTATATAATAACTTGAGACTTATCCTTTTACTATTCTGACTGGAGCTCGGTAATTGAAATGATTTTTGCTACGAATACATGTTGTTGTTTAATATGGTACTTGATCTTGACAGGCAAATAAAATGGAAAAGCACGTTATTTATTTTTCAAAAATTGTGTTCTATGATGGTCTGGAGGAGGCCATACTAGCTGTAGCCTGTAGCTGGTGACATCGGTTGACTGGACACACTTTGATTTGCCTCCAGCTCAATCACAGAATCAGATTCATCGATCTTGCCTTGATCATTCTCCTTATTTATTCTCCGGAAAAAAATATAATAGTTTAATCTTCAAAAAAGAACTCGAAATATCCATGTGTATTCTTTCTAAATAACGTTAAGGGGGGGGTATTCCCTCCGGAAAAACTTCCACATTTACTAACGAATCACACATATTTGTAAAACCGAAATACAAGCACATTTTGTTGGTATGATTTTTTCGTATGAATTCAAAGAAAACGTGAAATTCATAGAAAACGGAAAAAGGGGGTACTTTAAAAATCTATCTACTCCTACAGTTTTCAAGCTAGAGCATCGAATGAATGCCATTCGATTCGTAAAGACCATACCAATCGAGTAACACAGCCCAATTTTTTATTTTTGTCGGAGCTTTTTTTATACGCATTTTCCCGTTTTCTTCTCATTTTCTTCTGATTTCCCCCCCTCCTCCCATTTTCAATCCAAACTATGCACAAATCTAAAAAAAGAGGCTTCGTTGCTCGATAGGTATGGTCTTTAAAAATCGAATGGTATATCTTTCAATGCTGTAGCTTGAAAACTGTAGGAGGAGATAGGTTTGCAGTGATAATAAGTTAACTTTTCAATAGAGCCCGACAAAGTCCCGCGCGCATCGGAATAGTCACTCAATGTAGCAAGGATACACGACTAAACGTTACTGGAGCTCGATTCCAGTCAAGGATGGTGGGAACGACTGCATGCACACGAAACCCCATACTAAATCTCGTCTCGTCTCGTTATGTCTCGTTTCAAATCTGTCTGTCTCGTCCCGGTTCATAAATAACCGGGACACAAGTTTTAAAGTCCGGGACAAAAGTCTTGTCTCGGTTCATACGTTTATTCCGGGACAAATTTTACCCTCTGTCCCGTTATTTTTTTCCCGGAATTTTCTCGTCTCGTTACGTCTGTCCCGGTTCATTTCGAGAAAATTATTTCGAGACGCAGGAGTCTAGTTTAGACGTTAGCCGGGTTGGACTATCGAGTTGGACTCTATGGTATATGGGGGCCCTTACATAAATGAGAAAATGCGCTAAAAACGGGTTAAGAAGCTAATTATATATACAGAATTTTCCGAATTTATGTCGTCCTAGGACCTTGTGAACATTACAGAATTTTCCGAATTTATGTCGTCCTAGGACCCTGTGAACATTAACTAATTTTTGGTGAGGATTCCGTCTAAAGGCCGGTCCACACGCTCAGTTTTACACAACGTTTTGTCTGCGTAGTTCTAATCGTTGCAGTTAAAACGTTGCGTGTGGACGGGAAAACTGCGCAGTTGCATCGAAATAGCTACAGCGCATAAGCCCGGTCCACACGCTCAGTTTTACACAACGATTTGTCTGCGCAGTTCTAAACGTTGCAGACAAAACGTTGCGTGTGGACGGGAAAACTGCGCAGTTTTGGAGCCGGCGGGAAAACTGCGCAGTTCCATCGAAATCTGAGCTCCATAGTATAGATTTCGATGAACTGCGCAGACAAGTCGGAACGTGTGGACGGCCGCACACTTTTCCGATTCGATTTGTGCTCAGTTTCAATGATTCTGGCGACCATGGCGGACCTTCGGTAATGTCTTCGGGAATTTATTACTTTTCTATACGAAAGTTTTTCTTGCATTTGGCAAGTATAATTCAAGGACTATAGTAACAGGGACAAAAAAGGTGGAGACATACGAGGGCTTAGTAGAAAAATTCAAAGAAATCGATGAAAGCGCAAACATAGAAACAGCTGTAAAATAAGTTGAGCATTTACCGTCAATAATTGAGAATGAATAAAAAAATCTATTCCATCTGGACCTGGAAAAGAAGACATCTACAAGCCATCTCTCTTGTATTTTGATTCCTCGCAATCCCTAAATGATTCAATCTCTTTTTTGACAAGGCGCAATGCCAAAATTTATGAAAATACTGCCTTCTCCATGGCATGTTTCGGATAAATTTACGGCCGGACTCGCGGCCGGTCTCCCCAAATTCGATGGGCATGGAATATCTCCCAAAGTAATGAACGTAGCTCGATAAAATTCGAATCTGACTTCCGGGCATCGTTAAATTACATAATTTTACATTCACCGTATCTGAGGTTAGATTTCAGATGGCATAGTTCTGTTCCAAAATTTATCGTCCTTCGACAAGTTGCCGTTCGACCGAGGGCTGGTTCGACCCACAGCCTAGATACGGACGGCTTGAAGTGTTGAAGGCTACGTTCCGGAAGGCAGGAATCATGATTGTCCATTATATCCAGGGCGGTTGTGGTCTTCGGCAGGCGACCCCGCCTGCTCGGAGGTGTCGTAAGCGGAGTTACGTACACGTTTTGAGTGTTCCGAAGCAATATAAAACTATTTATTTACTTACAACACGATGAATTGTGATAGAATTATGTCAATAATTCAACATAGGAATAATGTGTGATCGTGCTAAACGGTGCCTTTTGGGAAAAATTTGTCAATTGAGTTTATGCCAGCTAATTTATTTTCCTTTTGTGCTATAATTCAACTCACGAAGTGTTCTAAATTCTAGGTAGCTCTCTAAAAAGTCCCCTAATTTTGAATGGGAATAATGTAATTTTTTGCTTTGCGAAAAATTGCAATAAAGGCGTTGTCATTGCTATTTAGACGTCCCATTCAATTCTCCATATGCTCCTTAGTTAGTCAACACAGATGCCGGTGACAACCTCCTTCCATCCACGCGCACTGCACACTGAATCGGCAGGAGCTGTGAGGACCAGCCTCAGGGCCGAGCAGGGCACGAGCAAGGAATGGTTAATTTTAAAGCCTCTGATTGGTCAGTTAGCCGTATGGTTATGATAATAGCTTTCCTGATGAGTCTTGCGCACGAAAGTTTTGATAATGCCAAAATTAGGGTGTACTTACGTAACTCGTATCTTCTTGTACGTTCGTATTGAAAGATACGAAGTTTTGATTATCCGGCCCATTTGGTAGATGTTGAAGTTTGCCTTAACCTTCAAATTCAGATTAGAAGAAATCAGGATGGTTGCCGTATATACAGGATTGCGGATTTTAACTGGCCAAATTTTCAATCAAATATCTACAATTTGACTTTCGACCAAGATAAATTTTCTAGTGAATATAAAGATTTTCCTACATTTCAAACGAGGATTTCAAACACTATGAAGCTCAGCTTACGCCACCTCTTTTTAAATTGATCGAAATTAATACATCTCATGCCATGAATTTCAAGATCAAGTTTAGTTTTTTTCATTTTAGAGGAAATCCAGGAGGATGTTAGAGCCACATACAAACCGGGAGCCTGATTCAGAAATGCAATATTCACGCAAGTCAAACTGAAAATAATGCAATTGAAGAGATTTTCAAATTTAATTAACAGATAAATCCAGGTATATTGGAAGATTAATTGCAAGGGACCTCATGCAAGTGAGGCATTAATGTATTACCTTGGTGCGCACCCATTTAACTCTAACGTAAATCGGGCCAATGTAGTCCATGAACCGATATATATGGGAGATCGCAAGTGGATTAATCCGGTTACGGTACGAACGATTTTATATCGAAATTTTATCGTCCTTTCGTGTTACCGACGGCACGAACGCAATTTTACGGAACAATTTTAATTTACTGGCCTCTATCGATTTGTGGCTTCAGTCATCAAGTTTGAAATAAGTTCTGAATGATATAAGTTCCGCGCCTGTTTGATTAGCCTAGAAATTGTGAACGAATTTTTATTACATTTTATGGTTACTGATGTCAATGAACACAATTTTTTTACAGCCGGTATGAACCCAATTTTTCAGAACAACCGATAAAAATTGTTACCGCCGAAAAAAGTAGTGCAAAATTTACTGAGAATGTAGCACGGAAAACAAGTTTTGTTTATGATAGAGAAATTATTCCTGTGTTCGATCATTTATATACGCGCTAATAATATAATGTACATTGAACGTCCCTACGAACGAGTTCACCTTTTTGAGGCGTGCTCGTACGCGGACTACGCTCGGTCGGCGGCTCTGCGCAGAACGTTGTTGTTGAGACAAGCTAAGCGTTTCTTATGCGATGTCATCTGGGCGTCTAGTTGCTCTCAGCATTAACCCAAATTACCTCTGAAATTGTTAAAAAATACGTATTTTGTGTCACCAATGTCTGCACCAGCGGCGGTGCTCGGGTTATTTCCTACGCAGCTAATGACAAGGAAATCCTCGAAACGGTATCCTCGCAACGGTATCCTCGCAACGGTATCTTCGCAAAGGTATCCTCGCAACGGTATACTCAACGGTATCCTCTTAACGGTATCCTCAAAACGGTAGCCTCGCAACGGTATCCTCAAAACGGTAGCCTCGCAACGGTATCTTGGGAACGGTATCATCGCGAAAAATTTTAAGACCGCGAAAATCCATCTCTCAGGTCTCGTGTTGTTCATCCTAGTCACGGGTTTTCATTTGAATTTTTATCCTGCGGTCAAATGAAACAAATTCGCGAGAAGTTTGTCAATTAATTTTCTTTAAGCTTGAAGAAAATGCCATCAAACACATTCTATGAATCGAACCGGAAAAATTCAAGCGCAAGTTAATAGAACTAACGATTAATTTTGTTACATTGCAAATAAATTCACGGCGTATTTCGCCATTGTTTCGAAAATGTATTCATTGAATCTACCTGGTTGCTGGTCGATGGAATGATATCCGATATCGATTTTAACGTCAGGTCCTCATTTTATTATAATTGAGTGTTCAAGTTAAGCTCAGTTGTCGTCACTGGTCCATGAGGTACCGCAGAGCAACGCTCAGGTAGCCCATCGCCACAGCGGAGTTGTGTGCGAGGCACGACTCGTTCATGACCTTTTCTCGTCGTGCTTTAGGCCGAGACTTATTTTCATCTATTCGTCCGACTTTTAGTGCTGATTTAACCTGGGCATTCTGAGATCGAGTGTTTTCAAGACCGCGTTCTGCGTCAGGAATTCTTGCAGGGTCCGCACGACTGAGGTCGCTGAGGTAGGCTTCAACGTCGATGAATCCGTAGCAGCCTGATGACTTCTGCCACGATAAGGCTGACCGAATCATTGAAGGTTCGAAGAACTCTGGCTTGTTTACTGCAGCACCGCAAAGGAATCCTGATATTGTTTAAAGAAATAATTTACAAACTAATAAGAAAAATATTAGCGCTAATATTTATAGGTAGAAATTTATTATTTTAACTTCAATGAGATCCACGACCAATACTTTCAATTCTGATAACGTAAGATAAACACATTGACCTAAAATCTGAACCAAATTTTGCTATTACAAACAAGTCAGGAATTATTCATACTATATACACACATTTTATAATTTCAAATCATACATACCTGTAAGGCTGTACAATAGCGCAAGAAAAGGAACATCTACATACTTAGTAGATTTTATAGTTTTATACCGGGATAGTTATGAATATAAAACATTTCACCGTCAACTTGGAATCTTCGTGTTTTACATAAAAATGACCACAAAACAAACCTTGTTCAAGGAACAAGTCTTTCTTGAAGTCAGGGTACCCGTCAGCAGCGATAACTTGCGCCTGCTCCAGCACGCGACTGCACTGCCGTCTCATCAGCTCGTGTGTGACGTCAGTCGGGACGCTGTCCGCAAAACCGCGTTGCGCAAGTTCGGCGAATTCCGGACCGCATCCTGCCTAAGGATACAATGAAAAATTTTTATAGGCAAATTGTAGTTCATGTCTACTGAGATGGACGAGAAAGCATTTAAGATTAGATTGTACGCGACGCTATAGTTATAACACTTCTGGTGTTCTTGATCAGGGGAACTTCGTAATTTGTCCACTATTATTATAATCATATAAGCTTTCAGTCAATAACTTATTATAATAAGCTTTATACTTTATTTTGAGACATGGTGCAATGGCTTCCCTCAGCAACAGAAAGGTATTTATATAATGCATGAAGCTTATTTTGACCTTAAGTCGTCCTTGCATGAGGGGATCTCGTCAACTATTAAGACAGTCAATTTTGAACAATATTACACATACATTACATGCGTGCTACAATGTCAATACGATGTTTGGTCTCTCATAGTCTAGCGACCGAAAACTCGCAAGAAATCGGTTGAAGCTGAATGGGATAAAATTCATTTCATTTAAATAAAATTTCATTTAATTAACACATTTAATTAACATTCATTTAAATAAAATTACATAATTTTTGTCCAATTGCGATGTATTCTAGTAGTAGTAGTTTTTCGATTTCATGATATGAGACATTACGATTGGACAACAGAGTTTTATTACGAGTGAAATAATTCTTGTGACTCGTGTCATAAAAATGTCAGTAGCTGTTAGAATTCTGCGATATCGGTAATCAACGACTGGCCAGATGTGGCCTATTCAACCCTGGCACCAATATTTGATGTCCTACTGAGAGGCCAAGCGCGAAGTAGAGAAGCTGGTGAGTGAGTTGATAGTCGCCAGTTTCGGGTGTGGCCATCATTCTCCAGCACCGGTCGCTCACGGCGCAGTGAGAACTGCGACCGTCCGAATTTGAGCTGTCGGTGTCTTGCAGGGGCCGGAGCTGACTGAGACACTCGTCTGATGCCACCTCGTCGAAATCGGTGTCCTCTGTGAGGTAGCAAACAAAGTCACGCATTAATCTGAAAATAATAGAGCTAAACTTCAATGAAAATAATACGTTTTATAGATTAATTTGGTAATAGTGGATTCAGCTGAGAAAATGGCCAAATCTGGTCTGTTGCGGATTCTTGACATTGCAAAATTTTTCCAGCTTGCTGGGGTTGAGCTGCCTCACTTAAACACGAGTATACCGTTGTCTCATCGAAATCTGTTTCCTCTGTGAGGTATGTAATAATGTCGAGCATTTTTAGAAGAATAAAACAGCTGAGCAAAAATGAACAGAAACCCTATTAGAATTTTATTTAATCGAAGAGAAGTGATTGTAATGATGAAATTAGATGAAAGACTCATTTTTCTTGAATATATACGAAGCATACTTACATTTGATAAAGACGTTTTAAATGCACAATATGGCTTTGGATTTATTTTATATGATATTCTGTTGAATAGAATTCAAATATGTTAGACGGACTGATTTACCAGACTCGACACCGACAACCTTTACACTACCATGAATGTATAAAATCAAGATGAAATCAAATTATTTAAACAAACGAAAGAATAATCATGTTCATTGACAATTTTTTTTATTTAAAGTACTCGTAATTTTTAACCAGAAAAGGAAGTTAATAAATGGAGCGTTTCGTTGAATAATTACGTGAGGGCAGTCAAGGTCCAACGAATTTTTTCTTCTGTGAATTTTTGGAAGGATTCGAAGAATCCTTTAAAAAAAATAAAAAAATAAAATTCGAAGAATCCTTCGAATTTTATTCGGTTTCCTCGCTTTTTACTCTCGATGATTTACGTCTCATCGCAAGTAGGAAATCAGCAGGCAGTAGCGAGTTAAGAAAACCTAGTCTAATATCTTTATATATTTATTGATGTAAGTATGATATAGTTTATGATTAAAGATATTCACACAATAAATAATCAGATTTCTAAATAATCATGTGTAAGTTTCGCTTCGGAAGAAATGTTCGATAAATGATCGAATTAAGTAGGCGTGAGTTCATATTTGAAAATCTCACCTCTGTCTTGGTTTTGGTCAACACCGAAAGTCCGAAGCCAAAGCTCCTCAAAATTTTCCATGGACTGTTCAGCGTTAATGCGCTTCATGTTCTTCCACAACTCTGGGTCCATCATGAAAGAAAACTCTGCGGGTGAAATTAGAAATAATTATCGAATGCAACATATAATGAACGGCACATATAAATGACATTTTTTAGTTCAGGTAAATATAATAGATGGTTCAAGCGAAGAAAAGATCTTTAAATTATGTAGAACGGAATGTTTTTATCGTTGAGGACTGTTATTGAATTTGCCAAAAATGCAAGTTGTTTTGGATGCCTATCTAATGCAATGCCGAAGATGTTTTTTAATTATTTAGTCTTTTTACATTCACGAGACACAATTTTAAGAATATAACTTGAAATTGAAAGAATTTTAGAGCTAGAATGTGGGCCAGTATATATGAACGAGTTGCAAGCTGGACGTACGTAAATGCCGACATCTATTCAACTGTTAAAAATGACCGATAACATTACTAGAGATAACATTAACAATTCAGCATTAAAGAGATGCTACCTGACCAATGATGGAAGATCGGAAAATCATTTCAGATGCTTCGTCTCACATGCACTGTAAGAGCCTTTTTTATTGAAGACAAATTAGTTTGAATGCACAAACCGATTGAAAAAGTATTTCACATCAATCAACAGATTATTTTATAATCCGATTATCTTTAATTTTGAGGTTTAGACTCATTTTACATGGGCAATCGAATTGACAGAAAGGTACCGAGCACCACATGGAACAGGCAGGCTTCAGCTAGGCCTGGTCATTCGAACTTGCTGGTCCTTATCGAAAAATCTTTCAGGTGTTCATTACCTGACGCAGGTGCATCATGAATGCACGTGACATTCATGCAGCATTTCAGCATTTAATAATTATTGGCCAAAAAATAAAACCACTTGCAACTTCAGCCTTGTGCCGAATCATAACCTAAATACGTATAGCGACGTTTATGCATGTGACATTATGAGCCTCAGAGAATTTAATAATTATGGGCAAAAAAATATAACCACTTGAAACTTCAGCCTTGTGCCAAATCATAAACTAAATACGTATAGCGACGTTTACTTTACGTATCGTAAAGTAAACGTAGCGACCTATTTCTCGTCTTTGATTGGTGGGTTTAGCTTGAAAAGTCATCGGTGATTGGCTGCCGAATATACGAACTCGGACCATTTTTCATAGTACGGCCTCAGACTTTCGAGCCAATGATAAATGCTAATATTGTTTACTCCGAACTCCAACCCAGGAAACGTTAGATCATTTGAATGTGAACTATGATGTCAGGTCATTTGAATATCAATTATGATATAAGTGTATTTGTAACAATGTGAATTGTAATTATAGCGTGTTTTAATATGAATGTATTGTTAACACATTTTATATTATATATGATGTGTTAACTTCGAGATTGCTGGGCTATCAGCGTCTCTAAATTTCACAGGTGCACCTTGGCAATTAAATTAGCTTGAACTCGTCCGGCACTTCATGGAGCTCTCTATCCAACGTCGAAATTTGCTAATTAAAAATCTCTCGCTTTACCGTGTTCCGTTTTTTCTCACTTTAATGACAAAAAGTATAAAAAAGTCAAGAAAAACGTTAGTTTTTCAGGTATAACAGTTAAAACATGTACACGGAAGAAACACAATTGTCGAGGCTAAATTTGTTAATCAATTATTATCGAGGCTAAATGATTAAATTAATCATCAAAACAGCGATGAATAAGAGTTATGTTGACTATATCTCAGAAGGAAACATGAATATTCTCACGTTCACTGAGATCTGGATTTGTCCCGAAGTTCTGAAGCAGAAGATCAGCGGCTGAAGCGAGATCCGCTTCAGCGGATGATATAATCCGGGATATCTCAGGAGAGTCGGAAATCCGCGGAGAATCGGACTGGAGCTGCGCTAGTTGGCCTACATTGGCAATTAAAAGAGACTTTAAATGATTAACATATAAGCCTATGTAGAATATTTTGTCATCCATGAATATGTACATTCTATTCAACAGTCTATTAAAGAATATGTTGTTCAGAACTTCATTCCATAGACTATCAATCTGAAAACTAGTATTTTTCGAAATAATATTTGATTTCAAGAGAAGTAAATCATGTTTTCAGCGAAAAATTTTCGAAATTATTGCTTTAATGATGACTATATATAATAATAATTATATATACATATAAATAATAATTAAAAAATGTAAAATATATCTCAACCCATTAAAAACTCAAGACATTTAATTCCTTGACTAACTGCAAAAAAATTAAGGCGAAAGTAGTCGAAGTTTACTCCAAAGCATCCAAGATAGATAGATTCATTAAGACTCAGCTGTAAAATGCAAATATTCACGTTAACTGCTCAACATTTTATGTCAAGGAAATTATCGACGCCTCATTAGTGTGTTGGAATTTTTTGAAAATTTTCGTAAAGTTTTTGAAAAATCTATAAACAAATTAAAAATCATCTTTTGAACATGCGAAAAGTCACGTATACCGTTCAAAACTTCACATTTACGCAAAAAATTAATACTTTATTTTTAAAACACATTTAAACAACGCATTACCCTGCGTAATCCTTATTGAGAGCAGGAGGTCGTCGTTGCCGTTCTGAGCTTCCTCGGCGATGAAGCTAGTGAGCTTCTTGAAGCTCGAGGCAACCTCCTGCAGCAGCTGCTGTCGCTCCTGCGCTTCATACCGTGGAGACACCCGCGCTCTGTCGTCGTGGTCCGCGGATCTTCGGACGACGGAGTCGTGGCCTGCGGATTTCCGGACGACAGAGTCGTGGCCGGCGGATTTTTGGACGACGGAATTGGGGTCTGCGGATTTTTGGGCGACAGATCTTTGAACGACGGAGCCGGGGCCGGTGGATTTCCGGACGACGGAGTCGGGGCCGGCGGATTTATGAACGACAGATCTTTGGACGACGGAGTTGTGGCCGGCGGATTTTCGGACGACGGAGCCGGGGCCGGTGGATTTTCGGACGACGGAGTCGTGGCCGGCGGATTTATGGACGACAGATCTTTGGACGACGGAGTTGTGGCCGGCGGATTTTCGGACAACGGAGTCATGGCCGGCGAATTTTCGGACGATAGATTGGACAATGGCGTCGTGGACGGAAGATTTTTGGACGACGAAGCCGTGCACAGCTGCTCCAAAACCCACGGAGGCGCTTTGGAACACAGCTACACCGAACAGCAAAGCAATGACCCTCATCTTACGTATAATGTTTGTGTTCAGGTTTCTTCTATGGTATACTGAATTGAAAGCTTTAGGTTACTTATTTTCCAGAAAAATATCGCCAAAAAAGAAGCGCGTAAAGGAAGAAACATTAAAAGAGTTGTGCATGTTTTCACCCTAAATTACGATGGAATAAATACAAGTGTTGTCAGTATTGAATAGGATCAGTTTACTCGGTAAAATACCTCAAATTTATTATACTTGATAAACATAGCTTATAGGTAGATCGGACTCATTGAAGGTACAAATAATTTTTTGATGTAATATCACTAATATGTCACTAAAAATCTACACCTATTGATTTACTCATGAATTCAGTACATTAAATTTGCACTAAGAACTTTTGTTGATTGGAGCTGTTGTACACGATATTAATATTTTTCCCTCATGAAACCAAACTTTTATCGGCGAATTATTGAAATAATTTCATTCCATTGGAAAATGCATGCCTCACTGTTACTACTTAATTAAGAAAGTTATATTCTCTGATTCATCCTGTATAGCAAAATATGGAAGTAAATTATTATATGTTCAAACAGTCATCGTAAAGAGCGAAAATTTATTGTTCTGCTGTAAAGGCTATGCGATTAATTGTACGTTCTATGTTCATTGATATAATTGTACGAGCTATGTTCATTCATTGTGCATAGAACACGACACCACGACCAACTCCCACCCCGAGCCGCGACACACTGCCACGCCATGACGCTCCAGAGTCCCAGTGACTACTGCTCAGAAAGGCCGCGTCGACACTTTTGGGACGAATTTTTGTAGCAGGTTCTAAACGGAATTTTTTTTCAAAAACACAAGCGATAAAGAAAAAATTGAAAAGTAGTTATTTAGTCAGAATACGCTTCTGTGAGCGTATTCTGATCGCAAATAACAATTTTTTTTTGCGTTCGCTTCGTTTTCACGTAGTGCACTAATCGTGTGCAATGGGGGTCACTCAAGTTAGTCGTGCACTATGGGCGAAAACGTAGCAAAAAGCGTCGTTTTAAATTATATCAAGATCGGTTTTACTTCACAAAATTATGCGCATAATCCTGTTTTGAAAATTCGTTTCAAAAATTCACCTCAAAACTTCGTTTCGTAAGTGTCGGAGCAGTCACTGAGGGATGCAACATAACCTTATCACAATGTGAAGAAACACTCATCCGGTCCCATTATCGAGTCAGAAGTACCTGTGCGTAACCTTCGAAACATTTCTATATTTATAACTATAACATAGGCTACAAACATTAATCTAAATAGATATTATCAGGTTGAAATTTCGGTAAGTACGCCAATGGAATAAATGCATTTCATTAGTTAAGATGACTTGTGTGTACGAGTTTACATAACGTAATTTTAGTTAATAATTTGACAAGCAATACACTATGTGCAGAAATTACATTCTCTTTTGTTTTTTGTTATTTCGATTGCAATTTGTGCTGAAATTAAAATTTATGTATTTAGAAAAATGATCTATATCAAATTATCAAAAAATAATAATTACACTAATCGTAATTATACTAAATGAAAATTATTGTTATGACCTATTGCGTTCATATATAAGATGCCCGTTATCTGTAATTTTCTATGAGAACAAAAAGATCAGCTACCCCTCAAACATATTTTCTGTGAACAATTTTTTTTATCTTGTTGAGAAAAAGTTTATGGGGGACTGATTTATTTTTTCAATCAGTGCAAATATTGTTTCATAACATTTCTTTCTCAATTCTCGGTTAAATTTGCAGAGAAACTGCCAAATCTAGATATTAACAAAATTAAAAATAACCTCCCATGTTCTAGATACACATTAATCTTTGAAATCAAATATGTTCAAGCAATTAAATAGTTGCTCTGACTCTATCCAATGAAAAAATATAGGTCGAAAGGGTGTTAAAAAATTGTATAGGTACTGACCGTACTGTTTATTTCCGATTTAACAATATTCTTACATCTTTTTTTTACTTCTCTTTCGATTGCTCCCATTAAGACTCGTTCAATATCTTGTTCACTTTATTATGAGTTGGTTTCTTCCCTTGGGAAAAAATGCATTCCATTTTTGGAATTCTTTTGAGTTTTTTTCGAATTTTCAAAAAACTATTTTACCCACCAGCCATACTATTATTTGTTGAACTTTTTTATATCTGAACCGTGTTATAATTAAAACTTCATAATTTCACCCCAGCTTTTGTAATGTCAAATACAATTTCAAGTTCCATGAGGGCATAAATCTTCTAACTCTCACCCAAGCTACCACGTATTTTGCAAGTCGTGTGCACGTAAATAACAGAAAGATCGACGCTGATTTTGTTGACGAGAGAGAAAAAATTGATAAGCTAGTATATTTTAATTATTTTATTTATTATAGTAGTTATTATTTATTTATTAACGAGTTCCAAAGATAGGTTAATGTTTTTCCAAGTATAATTCCTAGGAATACCTGAATTGATGAACTATAAAACTATTGTTGTAAAGGACAAATGAAATACTATAACGATCTTCACAGCATGATTAATGAATATAAAAAGAAGTAAAACATCACTCACAATTACTTAGACACTTGATTAGTGTATGGTTAGAGCATGTATGTATATATTTGTGTGGCACCGAACGGGCTCATCCGACTGAGAAACTCCACGGGATGTCTGTATAATATTTAAGTATCTCGAATGGACATAAATAATGGGAGATAACAACATAACACCGACACAGTTTTCTAAAGACTTTCAATGAAGCAGCCACGATGGCCAATTAAACTAAGATTGAGAAACGAGGAGAAATATAATCATATATTCCCAGATTTCATGAAAAGGTATTCCTCTTTTGTCCATAGTTTCAAATTTATAATTTACTAAATTTTAGAAAATTGATTAGATCGTGTGTAGTTTAAATTTATTTGCTGTCATGAAAGTTATTTTGATTGCTATTTCTTTGTATGCTTATGGAAGTTCTCATATTTCTTTGCGACTGAGACTAAAAATCATCAAGTTTAATAATCCAAAGCTCAATTTTCAGTTTCAGTATTAAACATTTTTGTTATTAAATGGGTGCTGCAGGAATTCGATATTTTATTGTACAGTTATTACAGGATTTACCCAATACTTCGTTCACTGTAGCTACAGATTAATTGTATTTCACACTAGATCTGAAGCTCCTTTTAATTAGTGGATTTAAATTTTAAAAGCTGAGATTGATATGGTTAAAATCTTAGCTTATTTTTTCGAAGCGTAGTAATAGTATAAAAATCTAAGAAACGAATAGTTTATACGCAAATAAACATAATAATATTAATAAATGTAAAAATCGCAATAAGTGCGAGTTATCTGAATTGATTTCATTTGAAATTTGGATGACAAATAACATAAAAATGTCCTTAAAATTTTATACATGTAAAAATCCACCTTCTTCCTGAAAAAGAATTTATTTTTCATTATTATTCGTATTATTTAATGAGAAATTTTTAGGATATCATTGAGTATCTCTTTGATGTTTCTCTTAAAATACACACTCACAACGTAAGAAGAGTAAACAGAGCACAAGTAATTTTCGAAAAACTAAAACTCCGTATTAACTTTTATTGGCTAAAGTAACTGATAAAATAACAAATCTTAAGCGGAGTTCTCAAATTTCTTAAATTGAAAACCAACAGTAGGCGAAAAAGCCATCAAAATTCAGCAGTATCGTACAACAGTGAAAAACTTCAGTCAGTTTTTCAGCTACAAGATATTCAGTATTATTTACACTATATATAAAACAAGCCTGACGAAGGCTCCATCCTGTGACTATTTCTACGTACAATGGTGACATCAAGATACAACACGTAATTATGGAAATAATTGTTAGCTAACTTATTCATTTGTACATATTTCTGTTGTTAATCAGATAGAAAATGATGTAATATGCAATGCATCTCGATGCAGCATTAATGCATCGCATTACTTAATAGACATCATGTCTATTTTTACTCAAAAAAATCAACTTGCGGACAGCTGATAATATATATGGCATATATGTTCGATGAATTATTTATTGAATCTTGATGATTCACATAAAACGGAGCTCCGAGCACCCGTCCCTTTGTGACACCCAAAATCAGCAAGCGTAATCACGGACGAATTTCTCGATTTTTTTTCGCAAGCATCCAAATTGAAATGATTGTTAATTCCAGCAGATACAAATCGTGTTGTCTTGGAATTTTGATGGATAATTTACATAAATTTCTTTATGGGCTTTTTTATAGAACGTGGGGAAATATATTTTCTTCGGAGCAATGACTTATTCGGTTACAAGATGGGAATCTGAGAATCATTTCCCTTTGAATTTTCTGGGAATTCAAAGGGAAATGGTCAAAGTTTGTGGCTCAAATGGTTTTTAAGAACCTCAATTACGAATAATTTTAAATATTATTTCGTTGAGTTCTATAGGATTCGGAATTTTAAACAATGCTCCTACTAATTCATTCGTAGGCCAAGAATGAGATGCACATCGCGATGGCAAACTGTCTCAATTGTCAGTTAGAGAAGATGAATAACTTAACATGCACAGTTACATGTCGCAGGTTTGACAAGTTCTCAAAAACCTGATGGAGTGAACTTAAATTCTCTTACACGTCGCATGCAGGTTCAACAAATTCTCACCAAACCTACAGCGGTAAACTTAACTACAGTTACATATCGCAGGTTCGACAAGTTCCCATGAAACTTGATGTTGTAATACGGTGACACGTCACAGGTTCCGCAAGTATCGATGTATGAACTTTAAATACTGTTGTATGTTGTATGAAATGCTTGTATGAACTTTAAATACTGTTACACGTCGCAGGCTTGGCAAATTCTCATGAAACCTGCAGGGGTAAAGTGGCTGGAGGCGAGGGTAGCGACGTTGACGTGTGCTGGAGGGCGGTCAGATTTCCCGAGTCTAGTCTTGCCTGGTGGAGGTCTAAGGGTCGAGCGGCCGCCTCCGTGCCTGCAAAAACAACACGTGGAAATAGTGCGTGAAGATTACTAAATCTTTGATTTTAGTTAGAAATTTTTGTTAGTATTCGTTAATAACCGTGAATAGTATCATCAATTATCAAATGATCTTAACTAGACTCTGAATTTATTAAATTTTAGTTCGTATACTACACAAAATATTCAATTATATTTATGTTTTGTTAATTCATGAATGCAAATCTCACTTTGGGCTCTTTTGGACTCTGGCAGAACGAGTTCGCCGTCTCGACCTCTTTTGAGGTTGGAGAAATCCACTCTCTCGCATTCGCTGCCCCTCAAGTTGTCTTCAGAGTTACAGGAATCGGTCTGCATTTTAGGGGAGAAATTCTCCACCCGGGCAGTTTCGGTGGATGCGGGTGGAAATTCATAGTTCAAGCCTTGATATAGCGGCCGGGAAGGAGATGTCGGGAAACTTGTCTGTTGTGGTGGCGAGAACATCGGCTGTCGGGGTGAGGGGCTGGCGCGGGAATTTGTGTGATCTTTACGGGAATGGGAATTCAAATGGGAATGATGAGCCTCGTTGGAAAAATATGTTTGACGAGTGACTGGAGAGACTGTTGATGTGACTGGGGGTGAGGGGAAACGGGAGCTTGGGGAAGATGAGGAGGAGGGAACGAAACTCTGCGACGAGTGATTGGCTTCACTCCCGGCTGGACTTGCTGGGTCAGTGTCATTTTTTTTGTCTCCGTTTCGAACTTTGTGTGTGAGTAAATGTTGCTTCATATTTCCCTGCAAATAATTAAGAAAAATTTAACATTAAGTTGAATGATATTCGATTAAAACTGAAATTGAAGTCAAGAAACGGTTAAGGTTTAAAGTTAAAATTGAGTATTTAATCGGTCGGTAACTTGAACTGGAAGTATTACAAACCCACCGATTTAATTGAATGATCATGGTTTAACCAGGATCAACTAAATTTGTACATTAGAATAAAATTAATGCAATCGTCCCATGACTGAAGTAATTAACAACTGTCGAAATACCAACATAACAATAACTTACATAAGATTTGATATGTTTAAACTCATACTGCCGCATATCCAATCATGCTAAAACGGCTCGACGCATGATGTTAAAATTTGGCATGTTTAAACTAATCGGTCGGTTTCATGAACTGGCAGCAGTTCAAACTTACCGATTTAATTGAATGATAAAGATCAACCAGGATCAACTAAATTTGTAGATTAGAATGAAATTAATGCAATCGTCGACTGAAGTAATTAACAACTGTTGAAATACCAACATAAAAATAACTTGTACCAGATTTGATATGTTTAAACTCATACTGCCACATATCCAATCATGTCATAACAGCTCAAGGCATGATGTTAAAATTTTGCATGTTTAAACTCTTTCGGAGACACAATCAATCAATTAAACTTGTACAAAGGAATCGCTCAACAGCGCACCCGGTTGTTAAATTCGTTTCATAGGAATTTGTGGGTACAAATTGGCTTCATTTATGTCGTTACGAAATCAATAAGGATTTTTTTTGTTCCTGCTAAACATACGTAGAATCCCACCCTGCCGCGTAATGCATACGAATGTTTGATATACATAATATATTATAAAATTTATTAAAGGAACAAGAATGTTTGTGATACAAAATCATTAGTTGAATAAATGAAACAAATAAAAAAAATCACCTACACAAAAGAAATTGCCAAATGCAAGAACAAAATAAAAATGTTGGAGATAAAAGATCATTTATAAAACAAATGAATTTTAGAAAAATGTTTGAGCGCGAAATCCATGGCCAAATACATGAAACTGACGAAAACGTCTCAAGCGCAAAATAAATATTGAAATATACTCGTATCATACGAAATACCTTAAGTATTTGGAATCGATTGAATACAAGACATGAAATATTTGTAACGTGTGATACGACTGGACGTTATTTGCGTCCCTTTTTTCGTCAATCATAATCAAATGTTTCTTTCGACTTAAAGTTAACGCTGAAGCAAAATGCAGAAAATCAGCTTTAAATTACGTTGACTGCGTCTCAAAAGACGATGTAAAAAATGTTGTTTAGGTGCGTTTCTGGAAATCTATATGTCGTCTGAGCACGCAAGTCAACTGATATAATATTACATCAGTTATTATAGGTTATATTACGATATAATATTTATTTGATATGTATGAAATGAAAATGATTATATATGATATGATATTCAAACCAGAGAAGGTACTGTTTAGCTCATATGGCTGTATTTATTTGCTCCAATGCCCTCTTAATTTTAAGCAAGTTTTTTAAATTTCTTAACAAGAGCAAAAATTTTCAAATTTATTTTAGCAACTAGTATTGTTTCCGCAATTGGGTTCATTTCTTCTCCATTTAGCAAACCTAATCGGATTCCAGTTGCCCGGTTACTGTCAAAAATCTCAAATTTATTAGAAGTAAGCTTCTTAGCTTACTAGTATATTTATAGGTTCATATGTTTGTTCGTACATAATAAAATATGAAGTTAGTAATTCAGTTTTGTTGTGCTTACCCTTGTGGTGAAGCCTCTATCGCAGTACAAGCACTTGAAGGGCCTTTCTTTGGTGTGCGACCGATAGTGGATCTCGAGAGCCGACTGGCAGGCCAGCGTCTTGAAACATATTTTGCAAGTGGTGTTACCGCGACCTGTAACGTATGGTAGGTGTGTTACATGGTTCCCTATTACTAATACACGCAACGTATGATAGGTGTGTTACATGGTTCTCTAAGACTAGAACCTGCAATGTATGGTAGATGTGTTACATGGTTCTCTAAGACAGTAAGACTAAAACCTGCAACGTATGGCAGGTGTGTTACATGGTTACCTATTCCTAATACACGCAACGTATGATAGGTGTGTTACATATGGTTCCCTATTACTAATACACGCAACGTATGGTAGAAGTGTTATATGGTTCACTATTACTAATATACGCAACGTGTGGTAGGTGTGTTACAAGGTTTTCTAGGACTATAACCTCATTAGATTAGATAAATAAACAAATTTAGTGTAATAATTGCAATGTTTTATTTTGAGCGAACGCATTGATGAAAATTGTTCCATATATTTATCTCTCCAAAAAAATCTCATGTGTTCGTATGATTGTCATTCCTACTTTGATGTGCACATCGTATGTTGATCGCTAATGACGGGTCGCAATAAATTTAGGGATTGACTTGATTATCTAGCAACGTCTCTCATTAGAGTGACTTTGAAAGTCTGCAATCTATCACAGAAAAAATGTTTTTGGAATAATGTCCAGTGATCGATCTCACGACGAAAAATTGATATTTTAAAATTTATCTATACACTTTGTGCCAAATCATCCAGGGCAAATATTTTTAATGTCGGTGAATCGGAATGTCGTTATAAAATTAATGACAAATAACAAATAAAAAACATGATGAACGATAACATACCTGGTATGTTCGGCAAGTAGAGAGGGGAGAAAACTGGAGACATGGTTGAGGGCGATGAGGTTATTTGTGCCGATGATGGCATTGTCTGAGGGAACAGTCCAATGGGGGACCAAAACGGCGGGTGGTGGGGTCGCGAGACGAGGTTTAGGGGCGCCGGACTCTCATTGCCAACCGCCGGGCTGGTGGCAGCGCCTGCATTGCGGTCTGATGAGTATGATGAGTTTTCTGATGTCGTTTCTCGCATGCCTGGATCTGAATAATCCGAGGGTGACGGTGAAATTGATCGCCGCGGTGATGCAGATCCGTTTTGGAGATTCTCGTCGCGAATTTTTGTTGATAAATCCTCTGCAACGCGTTGCTCGCGATCGCGATCAAGAGCCATCATCTCGGACTTGAATCTGATATAAGCTTCATCTTCCTCACCTTTATCTTCCATTCGGATTCTATCCTTAGTTCTCAAGAAATCAGGAGAAATCGGATAACGCATGGGGAACTGGAAGGGGGCAAATCCTCTCAAGGGATGATGTGGAGGAAGTGGAACCCCAGGGGGAAGTAGATTAGGAGGAAATGATTGAAAGTTGGGCGACATGTCTCTCACTTCAGCCGCAGAAATTTGCTCTGGACTTAAATCCGTCGGCTCGCCGGTATGTAATCGAATGTGTTGCTGGAGAACCAATGAGTTACCGAACTTTTTATGACACACCGGGCACTGATGTAGCATGCCTACGTGCGGACGAGCTCTGTGCACACTCATATGAGTTTTTAGATTACCTTTCGTGGTGAATGTATGGTTACATATTTTACACTTAAATGGCCGTTCTCCGGTGTGTGTTCGGTAATGCATTTGTAGTGCAGACTTGCAGGACAAAACACGATGACAAATCACACACTGGTTTGGCTCTAATTTATACTCAATATTTTTTACCAATTCTTCGAGTTTCATTGTCTCGCTGGTTTTTTTGACCTCGATTAAAGCCTCCCATGAACTATCAGTGCTCCCTGGCCTCGGCAATAGACTATTATACACGTTTGGGTCTTTGGCAGGATCAACTCCAGGAGGTATCACAGGACGGGGTTGAGGCGGGGGTAGGGAAGTTTGGAACATCGGCGCATTGAAGCCAGGAAGGAACGGAAAATTTAGAGGAAAAGGAAAGCGTAGTCCCGGGAAAGGAAAATTTGGAATGTTATGCAGTGTTTCAAGTTTTGGTCGAATTTCTGGCTGAAGACTAGGGATATTCCCAACATGACTGTCAACGTCCATGTTTTCTCTCTTCATTATTGGTTTGTTACTTTCACTTTCCTTTTCTGTTGGGCATTTCGATAACAAATGCTCTTTCGTATCAGAATCGTCAATGTCATCCCGTTGTCGACCTGAAGAAAAGGATAACTGTTCGTCGCTGTCTTCGTTCATGAAACGCTGGTCAAATTTCCTCTTCTCGTTATCACTCCTTGTAACACTGGAGTCCATGGAGTCGTCAGCATCTGAGCAATTTTTACTAAAAAATGGACTTTCGGTTTTCATATTTTCATAAACTTCAGATTGAGATTTAATTGTATCTTTACACTCATTTAGGAGATCGGATTTTTCTTGAGAAATTTTCAAAGCTGGAAGGAGTGGATTTGTCATTCCAATAGAAAAATCCAGAGTAGGCGGCAAAGAAGGCGACAGCTCTGGAGGACAACCTGGTATGGTGGAGGACTGGGCGCCGGGAGAAAATGGACTTGGAGGTCCTGTAGGTGCGGGAGGACAGTCGCTTATCTCGCCAAGTTGGGCCAGAAGAGGAGGATAGAACTTATCCAAATTTTCAGGTATTGGGTGAGGATTCATTTTTACGTGCGGGAATCTGGCTTGATGTCGTTGAAAATGCACTTTGAGATTCCCTTTAGTGGTAAATCTGTTTCCGCAAATGTTACATTTAAAAGGACGCTCACCTGTGTGTGACCGTAAGTGTATTTGAAGAGCTGAATCACTTCCAAAAATCTTCCCGCAGTATCGGCATCGATGTTTGTTTGTGCCATCATTCACGTCACCATTCTTACTGTAGTCGTCTATTAGCCGGTTTGTGAGTAGACCTTGTGATGCGTTACTCAAGACTTGATTGGCAGTTCTCTGTAGCATCTCCAGAGTATTTGGTTCTGAAGTCGATGGAGGAGAATCATTGTGCTGTATCACTGAGGAAGTAATGCTTTCTCCACCACAAAGAGGAGGAGAAAGTTCACGAACTTTGGTATTTCCGCCTTGATTTGTGTTATCAGAATCAGAGTTCGGACTTTTTAGTCGATCTGTAAAGTTATTCATTATAGATATCGGTCCTTGTCGTGATTCTAAAATATTTGGTGATATGGCTCTTTTTCCGTGACCTTGTATTTTTTCTCGCTCATCAGCTTTATTTTTGCTGGAAAGCTGCTCCTGAAGCTGTTTGATAAGCTGCATTTGTATGACCTGCTGATGTTGTAGGTTATAAAGAGCGCGTTGGAGCAACGTGACATCAGGAAGAGAAGATTCACCAGGTCCACTTTGTGCAGCTGCTGACGCCAACTTAGCCAAAGTCATGCGCGTGTTATTTATTGCCTCAAGGGTTAAACTTGAATTTGCAAGTTGCTCGTTCAGGGAAAGCTCGGGTGCGAGAATTGACTGGTTACTTCGCGCTAGAAACGAGTTGTGTAAACTATCTCTTTCCAGTCCGTAAGGCTCTTCGCCGTCAGTGCTATCATTATGATCAGATGATTGATCTATTTTCAGTTTAATGTCATTGCTGTTGTTGTTGACAGCATCTTCATGGGCGTGGGCATTGCCATCTTTAGGTTCTTTGGTAAAAATGTCTTCTTCCTCGACTTCCATGCGATCGTGTGGACTGGACGACAGCGCACGACAGTCTTGGTGGTAGCGATTTTGCTCGACTTCCTCCAGCGCATTCGTGTCACCTGCGTGGCAAGTCAAAAATTTGCCATGAGCAAAATTATTTTAACATAGTGAATGCTCTCGTAATTTAAGCTTATATGCTCTGTAAGCGACGATATTTATGTACCAAATGAGAGGCTAACTAAAACGAGAAGAGCTAACCGTGATAGGATTAGAAATAGAAACAAATGTTCTCGTTGAAAATTATATCCTCTTGATGATCAAAATTTAAAATTTTTGCTTCCAGGGTATAAATTTAATATGGTGTTCATTTCATCATGCATTGTAGTTGATGATTTTCCCTAACGAAAGCTTCATATAATCACGATCTGTGCATTGTTTCATATGAATGTCGCCGTGAACTCTTTGAATTTACCCATCCATATGATGCTGCGCGGTTAAATCCACACGAGATTAAGTACAGACAGCCACGTACGCTTGGTACAATAATTAATGGGCTATTAGTTAGTTAATAGCTAATTAGATGATATGCGATATACAATAATAATAGCTACAATACTTACTGCGCTAATTAGAACGCAATATTCCAATACAAAGTCAGGTGATTGCATGCAATCTATATGGTATCATGCATACGGGGCTTCTATGTAGCTGCGGCAAATGTATACTACTGTTGATTTGACAGTGCAAATGATTTGTCTGGCGATCAACTAGGACATTCATTAACATGATTCTTAATATTTATGAAAAAAAGATTTATGCACAAATACCGGAGGATCCTGTACAAATTTCCTTAATGGTTAATTCTATATTTGTATTTATTTGGAATACTCTTTCATAAGTCAACCCCACAGGAGACAAGGACAACACCATTGAAAAAGGTTTAGTTATGAAGTCTATGCAATAGTAAAGTTTAAAACTATTCATTGATTCATTTATTGAAATAATTGAGTGATTGCAAGTTTATTTCTCATTGCGTTTCATTGTATTTCAACGTTTCAAAATCATTGTTTGCGAAGGCAAGTTTCTTTTTATTTGCATATTTTTTATAAATTTGAAATTTATCTGATAAAATGAGAAGTATAATTAACAAGACGATCGTTATTGATGTGCAATTTCTCCCATAACGTCTTATTACGTCATTTTAATCTGTTAAAGAACACAGAAAACAGCTCAATGCAATTAGTTTTTGACAACTCCATAAAAATGAACAATCAATTATAATTTCTAATTATTATTTAATTATTCCGTACGTATCGGAATTGTAAATAATAAAAGACAAGGAGTCAGAGAATGAATTTTAAAGAAATTCAGAAAAAAATCATTGAGAGGTATCGATGACATATTCTTCAAAGAAATGCATGGTTTCAAACATTTGGAAACAATTCGGCATTTAATGATTTGCTGAATAATGCTTACAATATTCAGGTTATTCAAGGTGCTCAGTGAATTTATTCATCTTCATCGTGTATACGCCTGCCGTTTTTGCAACGCGGATAAATACGAGCCGACTCACAATTATGAAATTAGAGGGTATATATACTCAATTAGAGGATCTATGAAGTTCTGTTTTTAAACTTCATTGTACATTAATCAATGTGAATTTTATAACATACTTGAAATATTTTGAAAATAAATATCTACGAGTAGGTATTATAGTTGTGTACCTTAATTATAGGTCAAATTATCTTCCAATAATAATTTTGTTATCGATATTTCATTTTCATTTTCCAGAATCAACCAAATTCGGGAAATACGTGAAACAACGAGCATAGAATCAGTCAATTATAAATCAATAAATTAACGATCAACATTATCTAAATAAGTCTGAGTAAATAAAAGAGAGATGAAAATTTTTCGTACATGGTAACCAGAGACGACAATGTAAGCGGCTCACCTGTTGGGATGCGCAGTATTTTAGACTTGTCAGGCTTGCGTTTAGGATGAACGGCCGGCGAGCCTCTGACTTGATCCTCGAGTGTCAGCTCGGCTGATTGTGAGGCACTGTCAGCCACACCGGGCCTCGAGGCTAGCCTCACGCCTCTGACCTGCTCCTCGAGTGTCAGTTCGGCTGATTGTGAGACACTGTCAGCCACACCGGGCCTCGAGGCTAGCCTCACGCCTCTGACTTGCTCCTCAAGCGTCAGCTCGGCTGACGGCGAGGCGTTGTCAGCCTCACTGGGCCTCGAGGTCAGCCTCACGTCCGCTGAGGGATACGTCTGGTCCATGGCCTCGTCCATCTCACTGAGAGACGCACACGATATCACAAAAGGTTTTTCCTATCACTGATGAATGCGCAGTTTATCCATGTAAAAAATTATAATTGCATTCCAAGTTTAATGGAATTTGAGTATCGGCACTGCAAGTTATTAACGAATAACTGAACTTTCGATGTACTGTGATACATTGACTAAGTCGACAATGATAATCTTATCCCACTTTTAAATTTTTTCCGATGAATTATTGTTTTCTGAGAGTAAATTATGTTTTCAAAGCGCCTTCCGCGATAGACGTCAACGTAATAAATGTCCTTAAAAGTGACCACTTAGCTGGTAAACAACAACGTCCAAGTTTTCCGACAGATCCTATCAAGCTATATGACGTTCATCACAGACCCAGACTATCGCATTAATGCTTGGGGGTCGACAAGAGAAGCTGGAAAGTCGATGGTGAGAGGCGGGGGGAGAGTGAAGCGCGACGCCGGCATCGCAGAGGTTCACACAACAACCGAGTTCGCAGGACTGAGCTTAGCTCAGGCGGCGTTCGAACCCCGCAGTGGCGGGCGGGAGTTTGTCGCTACGCAGGGAGGAGCCCTTGACGGTAGGAGGAACTTGGCGATGGGGCTGGACCAAGAAAGCTTTGTGGGAGGCCTTACAAAACTTGAGTAGGACTTGAAGTTTGACTAGAGAACGATTTGGACATCGGCAGATCTTGCAGCTGCAGCGGCAAGAATGCGCGTAGCTGATGCGTCTAGACTTGAGTTTTGACGCCGGCACCACAAATATGACAGCAGCAGCGTCGTCCTGACCGGCACTATGATAAAACTGACAGTAATCTGTCGGTCAAATTATTTCTCATAGCAAATTACCGAGAACATGTATTTTGAGTACCATGTAGCATACCAAGTAGGTTGGTCATGACTGTATGTGCAAATGTGGAATGATCGACATTATAAAAAAACGCCGCAGCTTGAACAATTTCAATATTTCTCAAAAATTTTGAAATCTCTGAAAATTGTAAGACTGACTTGGCAAATTTTCGAATAAAAGATTTATATTCTTCCTGAAATTAAATGAATCGATTACTTGACATATATAAGATAGATAAGAAATGTCTAAATTCACCAGGCATTGTCTCGGCTCTCGAGAAAAATGTGTTTTTTCTTTATTTGCAATGAAACCCCAAGCACCTCAGTTTCAATTGCTAACATAGATCGTAATGCACTCGCTCTTGTGCAATTATGTGTAGCCTCTATTAGTTAGATTTAGTTGTAATTAATTATGCGCTAATTTTGTCTAGGAACTATTTTGCATGAACTGGTTTCTCTGGAGAGTAAACTTAAACTCGAGCTATAATGTATATAATTCAAATGAAAGGTATTGTTTATTTTTGAAGAAAAACTTGTATGATAAATTCAGGGGAAAAATGTTCGGGATCAATTAATAGTTTTTCATTTCTTTGAAGCTTCCTTATGGAATAATAATCGAAAACATATACTGAACTTGAAATTAGCTACAATCGAAACTACGTTCTGAACATAGTATTAAATTTATGTTCTAGCATTATAAATACATCAAATTAGCACTTTAAAAACAAAAAGGCCTGTTATTATCTCAAGCAGCCAAATTTGATTTTATTTCTGAAGTTGCGGAAGCCATTCAACATCTTGTGAATATCAAACTATTATATTGGGAGGGTGTAATCAGGAGCACGTGCGAGAAGGGGAAACTTGTATAATTTTTCAATCAGGAATTTGCTTCAACCAACATATTCACAAGTTGCTTGATGCATTTTTGGCGTACAAATGATGAGTGCGGTGAACAGTAATTATGAAATTTATATTGATTTAATTTAAATTTTATTACCGTAAGAAATAAAATATATAACTTTGCTTTACGAAAGATTTATGACCAGCAAAACGATTCTGTGCAGAGTAAATTTAGCGGGGTATAAGTATATATATCGAAATTTCGAATATGGAAGCAGCAAGGTTGTAAGTTTATTACTTTTGAGCCGGTAAGAGTTTTGAGAAACGCAAATCTCGCCCGCATATGAAACAAAGATGTCTTTGAATAAACATTTTAACCTTAAATATCTAATTAACTTGTGCTTTATACTAATAGATAATGTATTCCGATCTTCAGTTTCAAATAATTCTTATTGTTTCGTCCAATTCTCACTAGTATAATATGCATATAGTATAAGTGCGCTTGCCGCACGACGTGCTAATTACAGCAGTACATACGAGTTCTCGTCGAGCATTTATAACGGGCGACCGAAATGTAATGAATGGGCTACTAAAATTTCACGAGATTTTACATCACTCAATGCCGTGTATGTAATTAATCTGCAATTTTTTTACCAACTGGTAACTGCATGAAATGGCAAGAACCACGGTTCTTATAGGCAACGTATATATATAGATCGATATACATTGGCACAAGATGTATAATTATTATCGCATCAATTTACACATAACTTTAAGGTTTCAGGAACGCGCGAACCTGATTATTTTCATTTCGAAAGGAAGTTTCATATACTATGAATCTAAAAAATATCAAATCATTCAACATTATTCAAGTTTCGGTGGTACTCGAAATTTAGGTTGGTATCAGCTAGGCAGAAGTCATGGTCTGAATGTGGAGCAAATGTGTTCTTATAACGAGATTGATGATTGCTATTTTATATTATCTCTAGTTCAGAAATGACTGATGTTTATGGATATATACATTTCCTTAAACAACGAATCCGATGTCTAAAGTTACTGAAACCAAGTCCGTTCCGTTGTAAATACAGTATATCGGTCTAGAATTTCCTTCCATGATAACCGGTGGAGTTC